AGGATGGATTCCTGTTTCTGGACGTTGATCGGCACTTCTCCAAGCTCAAGCTGGCCTCCAATGGTGTTGAAGATCAATCTAGGGCACTTGGGAACTCTTGCTCGTCACTTTCTCTCTCTAGGAACTGATCTCTCTCTCAAAAACTCCAATCCCCCCGAATTGTGGCTGAAATTCTGCTTAAAAGGAGAAAATCCCGACTCACACGGGCAGGGTGCACGGCCGTGCATATCACCATTCTGGCCGTGCAACTCAAAACGCAGCGTGTCATTTAGTCGAACTTCAGCCCTCTCGCACGGCCAGGGTGCACGGCCGTGCGAGCTTCAGGGGTTGCCCGTGCGTGTCCTCGGCATAAGGCGCACGGCCATATTGCTCACGTGCACGGCCGTGCAGACTCCCTGGTCTGCCCGTGCAGCTCCCCAAAAACCTCGCCATTCGTCCGTTCTTCGTCCAATCGACCCCAGACTCGCTCCTAAGCCTTCATTCACGTACTAGGACCTGAAACATCATAAACAAGCACAACCTAGCGTGAAATCGGTCTAAAACACGAGAAATCACATCTCAAACGGTGTAAGAACAGGGGTAAAAACATGTGTAATTAACGGTCTATCAAACTCCCCCACACTTAACCGTTTGCTTGCCCCCAAGCAAACCTAACTCAAACCAATGCAACTCTCCAGACCTCCATAGCAACAAACAACCCAGATCGTAGGTAGAGGACTTCCTAGATCATTTAGCAACTTACGAGGTCAACCGACGCACAAGTCATCTCAAAGCTTCTTATCGAGTCGGCATCATGGCAAACAGTGAACAGAGGACAAATGAATTATGGATGAAGAGATTCTCAAAAACAAAGGATCATGGACTCACATTTTTCAAGGTGCTCTATTTTCTTCTTGAAGATGGTTGAGACCCCTTTTTTTTCCTCTTTTGCTTGTTTTCTGATATTTTTCTTTTCTTTTCTTTTTCAAGGGTCCCAACCTGCTCTTACCGGCCATGCCAGGAGCGGATGTCTCGAGCCTCGTGCGGGGGAAAGACATGTAAGGGGGCTGGAGGTAGTAGGTGGAAATTGGGAACGAATTCCCGTCTCCCCTTACACACTTTCGCCCTATTCGCACGGGAGACGTTATTTTAAGCACATTTTCGAGCACCTGTTAAACTCAAAACATGATACAAGTGTCCATGACAGGCAGAGAATCCACAACACCACACAATTCAAGAGTCCTAAGATCACTAATTCACTCAATCAACCAACTCAATATGAAGAAGAAATGAGACTTCTTAAATGCATCAACATCCTCCATAGTGCTACACTACCTCCCTAGGTTGCATATTACTATAAAGACTGTCAATTCAAAGCATACTGAGCAGGCAATTGCAAGGAACACGTACTTGGAGCCCTCAAATTTAAAAATTTGGACAGTGGACTAGGCTCCAAGCACACAAACAGATCTAATGCAGTCAAAAGATAAACATCCCCCCACACTTAAGCTCGACATTGCCCTCAATGGAGAAGAGGGAAGGGAAAGGGGAACGATGTTACCGGTATGCACGGACTGCAAGGGACTGGAAACGGGCCAGTCGGGGCAAGCACAGCCAAAGGGAAACAGAAGAGCTCAAACACAATATGTTAGGTTCAATGGTCAGCCCAATAAAATATCATCCAAACCAAAAGAAAACAAACCAAACCCAAACCGGGTTACAATCCGACGCAAAACACAAGAAAGAAAATCAAACCGTGGTGGGGTTGCCTCCCCACAAGCGCTTCTTTACCGTCGTATTAGCTGGACGCCCATGGCGGATACTCAGGGCGGTGCAGGAACAGGTGCCTCCAAGAGCGGATCCACGTCGCTCTTGAGGTACAGCTTCAGGTTGTGGCCGTGCACCCGACGGATGCGACCACCCTCATCAGCCAGCTCGACCTGCCCATCTGGCAAGATGCAGGAGAGCGAGTACCCAGACGGCCAAGGTGGTCGTGGTGCAGGAGGTGGGACCAGCTCATAGTGGTCTCCACTCTTCTTCCGTGCAGGCTTAGCAACCTGCTGCTTCGGCCGCCACTCCTCCTTGAGCTTTTTGTTCGGAGGCGAGGCTGGATGGAGTGGCGGCGAAGGAGTGATAGGAGGGTCCTGCAAAATAGGAGGTGCAGAAGGGTACACGACAGACTCGTGTACCTGATCAGACATAGCATGCACAGGCGTGACAGCAATCATAGCACAGTGATCAAACTCAGTCACAGAAAAAGTAGCATGTTCATCCCCAGCACGCAAGATCAGTTTTCCATCATGCACATCAATAAGTGCCTTGGCGGTGGCAAGAAATGGCCTACCTAGAATCAAAGGCACATCCACATCCTCATGCACATCAAGAATAACAAAATCAACAGGATATGTGAATGTACCTACTTTAACAAGCAGATCCTCAATGATACCCTTAGGATGCACGATAGAACGATCAGCTAATTGAATGCTCATCCTAGTAGGGCTAAGTTCACCTAGGTCTAGCATTTTATAAAACTTATATGGCATGACGTTAATGCTAGCGCCTAGGTCCGCCAAGGACTTTCCTACATGCATGCTGCCAATAGTAAGAGGGATAGTAAAACTCCCTGGATCCTTGCGCTTCTCGGGCAGCTTGTTCTGCAGGATAGCAGAACACTCCTCACTGAGCATCACTGTCGAAAGATCCCCAAGTTTCTTCTTGTTGGTGCAGATATCTTTCATGAACTTGGCATACTTGGGCATTTTCGACAGTGCCTCCATGAACGGTATGCTGATGTTGAGCTGCTTCAACATTGCCATGAACTTGGCAAACTCACTCTCCAGCTTGTCCTTGTGTAGGCGAGTGGGGAAGGGAAGCTGGGGTACATGCTCCTTAACCACTGGTTGTGGCTTGGGAGCAGGGGCTTCCTTCTCCACCCGCACTTCTGCATCGTCGGCTGGAAGTGCTGGAGCAGGCAGTGGTTCCTCCTGTCTGGCCGGGACAGGATCAGCAGATATGGTCTTACCGCTCCTGGTAAAAATGGCATCCAGCTGCTGATGCTGGTGAGGATCTCGAGGATTAGGAACAGTGGTGGCAGGCAGAGTCCCCGGTGCCCTGGTGGTGTTCTGGCGGGCCAAGATGCCCAGCTGGGTCTGCAGATCCTGCAAAATAGCACCCTGGTTCCGCTGACCTGCCTCCAGTGATGTGATAGCAGCCTGGGTGCTAGTCATGAATGAAGCTAGAATGTTTTCCAGCTTCGTCATCCTGTCATCTGGGGCCAGAGCTGCTGCTGGCTCGGCGAACTGGCGCTGGGGCTGCTGGAATGGCTGCCCCTGCCTGGGCTGGTAGGGCTGCTGTGGGTTTGGCCCCTGGCGAGCCTGGAAGGGCTGCCTCTGCTGAAAACCACCTGCTGGTGCTGGGAGACCAGGTGGTTTAGTGGTGTTGCTGCTCCAGGCGAAGTTGGGATGCTGGCGCCACCCCTCATTATATGTGCTGCTGTATGGATCGAGGCGCCTCGCATTGGCGATGAAGGCCAACTGCTCCTGGGGTGTGGTAGACTCCCTCATAGCCTGGCAGTCCTCCACTAGGTGATTGGAGCTCTCACACCACTGACATTGAGCTACTGGAGGTGTAGCCAAACCTCTGCCCGAAATCAGACTGTTGGGCTGCTTCAATGTCTGCACTAGCTCAGCTACCTGCTGCTCGAGCCCGGATCTGGTCTCCATGGCGTGCACACCACGGTCTCGGGACTGTCTGCCTCGGCTACCCTGTCCCCAAGAATGATCTCTGGCATCCAAAGTACTGATCATCTGGTTCAGCTCAGGTGGAGTCTTGGTAAGAATATCCCCTCCTGGGCATAGAGACTCAATCACCCTCTGGCTATCTGGCGAAAGGGTACTGTAGAAGTTCCCCACTGTGAATGCATCACTGAAGCCATGATGGGGGCACTGCCAGAAATAGCCCATGTACCGCTCCCAAGCATCACGAAGTGACTCATCTGGCTCCTGGCGGAAGTGAGTGATCTCCCGCTGAATCTCTGTAGTCTTCGATGCCGGATAATACCTGTGCACGAACTTGTCCGCCAGATCGTCCCAAGAGGTGATGGACAATGGGGGCTGGGTCTCCAACCACCTCTTAGCATTCCCTGCCAGAGAATGGGGGAAGAGATGAAGGCGGATCGCATCATCGGGGACACCATTCAGCTTGAACCCGTTCGTCAGCTACAGAAAACGGGAAAGATGCACCCTGGCCTCCTCATTTTTCAAGCCATGAAACTGGATCGAGGATGTGATGAGCTGAATCCAGCATGGCTTGATCTCGAAGTTGTTTGCTGGGATCGGCGGGTAGAGGATGACCGGGCGGATGTCAGCAATCCGAGGAGTGTAGTAGTACTCCAAGGTGGGACCCGGCTGCGGTGGATGATGAACTCCATGGTCCTGGGGTATGGGGTTGTTCCCCAGGACCTGATTCACCGGGGGAACTTGCTGTGGATTCCCCTGGTGTTGGTTGTAGTCTCCGTCCATCCTGTGCTCTTCTTCAGAATCGCTGCTCAGGTGGCCGTCTATGCGCTCTTCCATAGCCAGTCTAGCTCGCTGTTGTCTCCTGAGCTGGCGACAGGTGCGGTCAATCTCTGGATTCAACGACAGTAAACCTCCCGACTGGCTACGGGTCATGCACTACCTGCACACACTCAAGCAACAAACCCGTGAAGGCACAAGTGGGGCAAAGAAAACTAAGCAAAAAGAAAAGCTAAATTAACAGAAATCACTTTTCTTCAACAACCTAGCCGTCCCCGGCAACGGCGCCAAAAACTTGACTCGACTCTACTGTCACCCTAGGAATTGGCCAAGTGCAACCACTCCCTAAAGCGTAGTATAGCGGGTTTAGGTTTATATGTCAACCCGGGTCCTAGATTTGCTGACTACTCAGTGAGTTCGTGTTATCTAGCAATGAAACTGGGATGCAAGTCTAAACTATCAAACTAACAAAGCAAGTAAACTGTTGTATTCAGGTTAAAGAGGTCACCCGGATATGGTTCCCCCTAGACTGCAGTTAAGCCGGATTGTAATTACCAAGTTCAGTTTCTATGACAGTTATACTGCGGAAGGTTCTTAAACAGCCTGAAGTCTCGACTAAAGGTCTTCAGACCCTCTCAATCTGACTCTCTAGCGGGGCGACTAACCTCCACCGGAGTCGACAGATTGAGGCCCTAAGAACAAAACCTCCACTACCGGAGTAAATCCGGTACAGAATAGTGAGTTGGCTCCTCGACTAAAGTCACCAACTCCCTACCTTCAATCAAGGATACTCTATTAACCTAGGCAGATATTCTCATTCTAGGTTAAAGTAGAAACAACAGGAATTTGATCAGGATTCAAGTCATTCAATCATTAAAACCTCAATCGAATATAATCAATCACAGAATCAGTACTTGGGTTCATACAATCAAAGCCTAACATACAAATCTAGGGTTCTCCATACCCAGATGAATGGGAGAACTACTCCATAGAGAAGAAAGCAAAAGCAGAATCAGACACGGAATTCATACTGCGAAGGATGGATTCCTGTTTCTGGACGTTGATCGGCACTTCTCCAAGCTCAAGCTGGCCTCCAATGGTGTTGAAGATCAATCTAGGGCACTTGGGAACTCTTGCTCGTCACTTTCTCTCTCTAGGAACTGATCTCTCTCTCAAAAACTCCAATCCCCCCAAATTGTGGCTGAAATTCTGCTTAAAAGGAGAAAATCCCGACTCACACGGGCAGGGTGCACGGCCGTGCATATCACCATTCTGGCCGTGCAACTCAAAACGCAGCGTGTCATTTAGTCGAACTTCAGCCCTCTCGCACGGCCAGGGTGCACGGCCGTGCGAGCTTCAGGGGTTTCCCGTGCGTGTCCTCGGCATAAGGCGCACGGCCATATTGCTCACGTGCACGGCCGTGCAGACTCCCTGGTCTGCCCGTGCAGCTCCCCAAAAACCTCGCCATTCGTCCGTTCTTCGTCCAATCGACCCCAGACTCGCTCCTAAGCCTTCATTCACGTACTAGGACCTGAAACATCATAAACAAGCACAACCTAGCGTGAAATCGGTCTAAAACACGAGAAATCACATCTCAAACGGTGTAAGAACAGGGGTAAAAACATGTGTAATTAACGGTCTATCAATGATGTATTATTGGGCTGACCATTGGACCTAACATATTGTGTTTGAGTTCTTCTGTTCCCTTTAGCTCTGCTTTGTCCCTGACTGGTCCCCTCTCCAGTCCTCTTCGCTCAGACTGGTCCACTTCCAGTATCATGTAGTCCGTGCACACCGGTGACATCGTTCCCCTTATCTTTCCCTCCTCTCCATTGAGGGCAATGTCGATCTTAAGTGTGGGGGGGATGTTTCTCTTTTGACTGAATTAGATATGTTTGTGTGCTTGGAGCCTAGTCCACTGTCCAAATTTTTAAATTTGAGGGCTCCAAGTACGTGTTTCCTTGGAAATTGCCTGCTCAATATGCTTTGAATTGACAGACTCTATATGAATGTGCAACCTAGGGAGGTAGTGTAGCACTATGGAGGATGTTGAAGTATAAGATTTTTCCTATCTAGCTCTCTGTTGTGCTAGTTGATTTTGTGAATTAGTGGAGCTAGGACCGTTGAATTCATGTGGTATTGGTGACTCTATGTGGATTGTGTTATGGACTTGTGTATCGAACATGGTGCTCATGTGGAAAATGAAAAATGCAGTTGGTCCTCCATGTCAAAATCATCAAAATATTAAACATGGGGTAAGCCCAACGTGTGCGGCACCGTTCATTGCACCAAATCGGGTTTTGGAAGAGATTTTAGTGATCCTTAGTGGGGTACTCCTACAAGGTGAAGCCAAGCTGTCTCTAGTACAAGTAAAACTTCCACCCGTTGAACGGTTTGCCTACTTGAGGATGTGTTTTGAAGGGCACGGATAGAGCTTCCGACCCCCCTTAATTTCATTGACCCTCCACACAAGTTGAGGAAAAGGAGTTAAAAGAAGTACTCTGGCGAGGGCCAGATGTAAAGAAATTGTTCTTTCTCGACTAATAAGGGTCGACCGTGCAAAAGACTGCAGTTGGAACCCCCGCTAAGTGAATGAAATGAATAAAAAGAAAAAGAAATAAAGTGAAAGTGAAAAAGGGGTTCCAACGGTGAAATGAAGTGAAAGAGCACCCCGGCACAATGAGTCCTTGGTTGTGAATGATATGAGTCCCTTTATCCATGAACTGACTGTCTTACTTCTACTTCTTCTCATGATCCTGGCTTGAGTCTAGTACTCGCATTGAGAGACATAGGGAACATCTTAGAAGACCAGTTGACCTCGTAAGCTGCTTTATGATCTAGAAAATCCTCTACCGACGATCGGGGATGTTTGTTGCTATAGAGGTCTGGAGAGTTGCATTGGTTTGAGTTAGGTTTGCTTGGGGACAAGAAAACGGTTAAGTGTGGGGGAGTTTGATAGAACATTGATTACACAAGTTTTTACCCCTATTCTTGAGCCATTTGAGATGTCGATTCTCGCGTTTTAAGCTGATTTCACGCTAGGTTGTTCTTGTTTGTGATATTTCAGGTCCTAGTACGTGAATGAAGGTTTAGGAACGAGTTTAGGGTCGATTGGATGAAGTTTGGACGTTTGGCGAGAAGCTGAAAAGCCATACGGGCATGCCTAAAAGCCACACGACCGTGTAGGGGACCCATGATGGCCGTGTGGAAATTCCAGGGAACTCACACGGGCACCCTGGGAAGCCACACGGCCGTGTGGGTCGTGGCCGTGTAGGAAGCCTGAAGCCACTTATCAAAACGTTGCGGATTGCACAACTCACACAAGCAGCTGGGGATGTCACACGGCCGTGTGGCCTGGCCGTGTGAGTCGTAATTTTCTAGTTTTAAGCCAATTTTCAGCAGAGGAGAAGAAAGTTCTGAGTTTTAGAGAAAGAAAGCGATTCCTAGAGAGAGAGAGCGACGAACCAGAGATCCCAAGTGCCCTAGCTTGATCTTCATCACCATTGGAGCTCGGCTTACACTTGGAGAAGTGTCGATTGACGACCAGGAGCAGATTCTCATCCTTCATAGCATGATTTCTGCATCTGAACCTGCTTTTTCTTCTCTCTCCATGGAGTAGTTTTCCCATTCATCTGGGTATGGAGAACCCTAGATTTGCGTGTTAGGTCTGATTGTATGAACCCAAGTACAGATTCTATGATTTGATTATATTCAATTGAGGCTTGAATGATTGAATGACTTGAATCTTGATCAAATTCCTGTTATTTCTGCTTTAGCCTAGAAAGAGAATATCTACCTAGGTTGATAGAGCACCCTTAATTGAAGGTAGTGAATTGGTGACTTTAGTCAAGGAGCCAATTCACTATACTGTACCGAATTTACTTTGGTAGTGGAGGTTTGGTTCGTTAGGGCCTTAATCTGTTTACTCCGGTGGAGGTTAGTCGCCCGCTGGGGACTCATATTGAGAGGGTCTGGAGACCTTTAGTCGAGACTTAGACTGCTTAAGAACCTTCCACAGTATAACTATCATAGAAACTGAACTTGGTAAATTCCAATCCGGCTTAACTGCAGTCTAGGGGGAACCATATTCGGGTGACCTCTCTCAACTTGAAAACAACCGTTTAATTGCTTTGCTTGTTTTGCTTGTTTGAACCTGCACTAAAGTTTCACCGCTAGATAATAAGAATTCACTAAGTAGTCATCACATCTAGGACCCGGGTTGACAATAAAACCCAAACCCGCTATACTACGCTTTAGGAAGTGGTCACACTTGGCCATTTTCTAGAGTGACAGTAGGAGTGAGTCAATCTCCCACTCGTCCAGTAGTTTAAATTTACTTTTCTATACCCCGTTACTCCTGAACTCTTACATTTTGAAAAATCGGAGGCACCTCAACCTCCTAATTCACTCTCTTCTTCAATAGAATCATACTTTGCTTCCAAAGTAAGGGTTCTTTGAGAGAAACTAAGGCAATAAGATCCTGAAATTAGGGTTTGGTAAATTTGGCTCTATTCTACAATAGATCAAATTTTCACACCTTTGCCGGGGACTTCTCGCGATTTTCAAAAAGGGAAGGAGGTAAGTTTCTATTCGAGTAAAAAAGTAGTACAGAAAAAACATTGGTCGGAGTGCCAGATTTCTCCATAAAATGGTGGCAAGAGAGCCAGTATTTCCTTTGTGTGTATTTCATTTTTTTGTTTTGTTTATTTTAGCTTGTGTTTTTGTGTCGTGTGTGTGCTTTTTGAGTTCTCGACTCCTCCTCATAGGAATGAGTTTTCGGCACTTAAAGCAAAAATGGGGGCAATATGTAGCTTTTTACATTCGCAATCCTACCACGTTAAATCTAAATCAATAGATTGTGTCGCCACAAATTAAGTGTGGGGTAAAAGCCAAGTGTGAGGCATGGAATAAAATGGGTTTTGGGAGACATACTAGTTGAGTCTTGGTGGAGTAGGCCTACAAGATGATGCTAGTTCCACTCTAGTACAAGTAAAATTTACACCCGTATGATAGGATTGCCAATTTGAGGAGGTGTTTTCGAGTGCACGGGTTAAGCTTCCGACACCCCTTGACTTCATTGACCCTCCGGACGATCAAGGAAAAGGAGATAAAAAAATCGATCTTGCTTGATGATGGTTGCTAAGTACCAAAGTACGAGGTGAAACCAACCCCCTTTTGTGCAAAAAGTAGCAAGAAAAGAGCAATGCAGTGTGATGAAATCATTGCCATACGAAAAAATGTAAAAGATTTATGTGGGCAAGAATGCAAATACTTCCTAATCAAGCTACATAGACTTCACTCCAATATTCGTAAAAGAAGGCTTGAGTAAGAGAAAGAGAACTCCATCTCGTGAGAGATGAATCATTTTGTTCTCACAAAGTACATTTTGAGCATCATTGCAAGGATCAAAGTTTCTGAGTGCAAGGGTTGAGCTTGTAAACTTCTTATGATCCACTACCTACGATCAGAAGTCACGTGTCATCATAGAGGTCAAGTGAGGAGAAGGATGTTGAGATTAGGTTTGCTTGGGGACGAGAAAAGTTCAAGTGTCGGATTATTTGATGACACAAAGAATGAGCAATTCTTGACCATCGTATTATGATCAAAACTGCATACATTTCATAACAATATTTCAACAATACCTTGAAGTGTGTTTTAGCAACACTAGGATTGCTTTTATACGATTGATACGCTTTGGTAGTATTCTGTGAATTTTCAGGTCAAAGCAGACTAGTGGACTACTTGGCACCTATAGGGGACATCGAGATTCAGTTGCTTGAGCCGGGATTTGAAGAGAGGAAGATTAAATAAATTATGTCTCATGAAGGAAAATGGTGTCTAATCTGCCGTTCTACGGAGCTCAACTACCTCATCAGAAAGTCACCTTGGAGCCTACTGATCGTTGGCCACGTGTTTGGAGCCTTTTGATTAGCTGGATGACACTGGAACTATGAGAATTCCTCTCTATAAAGCCTAATCAAAGGTGTATAAATAGGTCTGTAGAGACAGAAAGCGGGAAGAAGAGATGAGAGGTCAAGGAAGGGTCTTATTCTGCCGACAGAGCAACCCTCCTCACTTAGAGCGAGACCAACCTTCGAGGGAGAATTGGCACTGGAAATGCTTGTTTGGGGCTTGTTATTTCTGTCTCCAGTGGGTTTTATGGGTCTTCGTTTCAATCAATGAACACACAATTCTATGCAAAAATGCAAACAAGTCTTTCCCTTACACAAAATAATCATGTGACTGACTTTGGGTGGTCATTCTGTCGTCCTCACGGCCCGCCTCACAGACACGAGCCAACCCGTGAAAATTAGGAGACATTTCCAGATTTGACAATTGGGGATGAAATTTGTCGAGCGATTCACGGCCAATGTCACTGGCGTGATCTGTGGTTGTGACCCGCGGGAAAATATCCTCCAAAGCGAGGTTTGTGAAATTTTACGTATCGGGTAGGAAGCACCCTTTCCCATATGCTTGAACAATCAGAAACATGGTATATGAGATAATAAACAATCTACTTAAATCCCACCCCAAAATTTAAACAGGACAATGTCCCTATTGGACAAAACAAGGAGTATAGATAAGGTAGAACGAAGTTACCATATCGCCAAAATTCATGCCAATCGGAAAGTGTCATTGATGTTTGGTTGTTCTACGAGCAACGAAAAGTGTAAAACAGAAAGAGCAAGTGCGTCATCTCCTCCTCTATGGCAAAACAGTAGAGGTTCGCTCAAGTGGCTCTCTCGAGCTAGTCCAACTCGAGAAGAGTGGAGAACCTTCAATGCTAGGTGACATGCCCAAAAGCAAGGTCATATTGGCATTGAAATTGCGATATTTTAAGCGAAAATCACGATCATGTATGGTTGCGAGAAAATGTATGAAGGCTGAAATGTCTTCACCAAATTCCCCCAAAAGAAAAAGAGTGATTCCTATGGGCATACCAAATCGCCTATCGTGTATCATCATGAGGCGTTCTAGAAGAGAGTGGCATTAGATGAATCCCATTTGTTCACCTCACACTTTAATTCTTTCCATATCAAACCTCCGAAGGAGCTTAGAGTTGGAAATCGCAACAAATGTCGAGCTAGACACCCACACATGCCCCTATATGTCATGGTACAAGAAGAGGCCATCCATACCTCGATCCATAGACACGAAACAATCATCCACTCCACCAAGTAATCGCCAATATTCATGTCCTTCAATCCCAACCCCATCGCAACGCATACCAACAAAAGCAAGCTCGAAAGATATGACAAGGGAAACACATGGAACTGCTCATCCATTCAGCAGGATTCAATGTAAGGATATTAATAAGAGAAAACACGAAGAGGAATGCCACGAGGTGGGTGGTGTGGGCAAAAATCCAATGATGGCGGTAGAGTAAACAAACAAAGGTCTTGCAATGGTCGACATAGGGACGATCCTAGGCTAGTATTCATGGTCGAAGATGAGGGAAATGGTAGTAGAATTGATAATGGTTGTAGCAAAACATGACACGCATTAAGGTCCAACATTAAGACGGTACCCCCTTTTTAAATATCGTCCCAACGTCTTTAAGATATGCAAGTATTGTTTTGCGAAAAGACTATTTGCACTTCAAAGGGCTGCAACCACTCGATCTTTTGAAGCGACATTTATAGGTTACGGGGGTTTAGGATCACCTTTACTCACAGAAGTAGTTGGATGATTCCATCTTCGCGTCATTCCATGATGTGTGGTACTAGGTACGACCCCTAAAGCTACGGTAGACCAAATTTATTGATGAAAGTGCCAAAATCAAAGACGAGTTATCGCTCATAAGTACTTCTCTTTATGGTCTTTATGTTAGACAAAACATGGGTTGCCTCTCATGTAACGCCCTCTTTTTGATGCCATTAAGCTAGGCATCGCTAGCGCCCTTTCAATTGATTTGACCAATGAAGATCTCGGGCCATACCCAAAACTGATCATCTGGGGCAGGTGAATTGAGGGATGAATCATAAGCAAAGTTGTAAGTCGTAGGTGACTCATGAACACATACATATAAGGTACGCACCATTTCCTCACACTTAAGAACCTCTGATAAGACGAATCAGAAGTACCGCTCCTATACTCACGACCTTAAGCAAGTCTTTTCTATCTAAGCTTCTTGACTTTGGCCCTATTTTTTAAGGGCTCGTACACATGAAAGTGGTTGAGTTCTGGAAGCAGAACGACCCCTCAAAAATCGGCGCCACCTATGACATAAATGCAAAGGATTTTTCTCGCTCTGACCTCTTTTTTATCACTGTACTAGGTCCCTAGACTCTAGCCACACACACACACACACACACATGACACAAAAACATAAAATAAAATACAAACTAAAAATAAAAACAAAAACAAACTAAAAACGAATATAATTGAAAGACACGATATTTACAAAAAAGTCCGGATCTAAAGTCTTGGCCACTATTTTTGGAAAGAAAATGGTGTCCGGGGCAACGGTTTTGCCTTGTCTATACTCAACTAAAAACAAACACGTGATCGAACAAAAAATAAAAAGAGTTTAGACCTTAACTCGTCTCTTTTCTGAAATCTTCAAGATGTCCCCAACAACGACACCAAAAATTGATGTTGCTTGTAGAACATACCAAATTTACCTGGCCCTAAGGGATGGATCTTATTTCCCTAGGGCCTCTAGCAGACCACTTACTTAGGTGACAAGATGTGGTTCTATGGGTTAAAACGTATGTAAGAGGTTGAGGTGCCATTAAAAAAAATAATGTGGTGCAGAAATGAAAACTAGGGCTATCGTATGAGTGATGAAACAAAAGAGGAAGGTGTTGTACATGAATGCTTCCCTAGAATTCCTTTGACTTTGCAACAATTATGACTACACAAAATCTTGTTTATGGGAATACTTAAACGATTTCTCCTCTTACTATGCTTTTATTTGTCTGCTTCCCCCTCACGATAGTGATTGTGGGTTCCAAGCTTTAGCGAGGCACGACATTCAGATTGCATATTTCACGGTATGCAATAAGGCCTCTTCCAAACGGGTATGTATTCGAGGAGCATGTGCATAAGTTTCATACCTATCACATCTACCCATGAATAAACATCTCGTTATAATAAGCATAGTAAGGTAAATTTGGAAAACACATCTATGTGCAATCAAGAGTCAACTCTTGATCCTAAAACATATGAGCTTCTTGATCTTTGTTAGGTTTCCCTTTACCATATGCCATGGCAATTACCAGATCTAGTAGGTAGCGATGGTGAACCTACAGATTTCTCCCTTGAGGAAGTAGAATCAGTTTGATCAATTGAGGATTGATCATGAGGGACTGTAGTTTCTAGTCTCATCCACCCACGATGACGGGTATGAGGATATAGCCTTTGAAGCTAATCCTCGTATCAAGCATACAATTTCATGAACGATAAACCATGAAAGAACAAAGCAGAAGATAAAGAAATCAAATCATATATATGCCAAAATCAAGAGTTACAAAGGCAAAAAACCTCTAGGGTTTGCAAACCTATGCAACTAAAGTCAACTAACCGGACATGGGTATGGGTTTTTGGGCGATCAACGATCGAAACAACATCTGTGGAGAACCTTTAAAAAAAGCGGCCACAATAGAGAAAATAAGGCCTGGTCGCTTTTTTGCCACTGTTTTCCTCAGTTTTGGCTTAGCTCTCAGTTGGGTGAGTCACTCTGTCAGCAGAGTAACGACCCACTAAAGCCTCATCTCACTCGCTACCTAATTATGACCCCCACGAACCTATTTATAAGACTTTGGATAAGGTTTTCTAGGAGGAAAAGTCAGCCTTTAACATCCCAGAGGAGCTATTTGGAGTGGATTTCTCACCATTGAAGCCAAATTGCATTCCCAAGAGTGAAGATTAACATCCCAGAGCAGATTATACCTATCTTTATGAGTATGAGTGCTTTGATTTCTATTTTCCTCTCTCTCTCTCTCTCTCTCTATGGAGTAGACCTTTCTCTCACTTAGGTATGAAGAACCCTAGTTCCATGTGTTAGATATCTTGATTGTAATAACTTTTGGGATGATATATTGATTGATTTTAATCAATTGAAGTGTCTTTATTGAGTCAATTGAATCCTGATCAACTTCTCTTGATTTCTGCTTCAATCTGTGATAGATAGAATCTGAATAGGTTTTTAGAGTTCCTCAATTGGTAGGAGTGAAATGATTGTACGATATTCAATCAATTCACTGTTTTGTACTGGAATATGTTTCCAGTAGTGGAGTTCTGTGTTAATTGCCTTAGCATTCTATCCCGGTGAAGACTAGTCGTCTGCCGGTTAGTATGTCTGAGAGGGCTTGGTCAGCTTATGAGATTCCAAGCTGCTGTCGGATCTTCCGGAGTTTAATCAACAGTGAATCAACCAAAGGAAATTACAACTTGGACCTAACTAAGGAGCTAGGGAGAATCATTCCCAAGTGACTCTTCTCTTGCTTCAGAAAACCGGACAATTTACTGTTTTCTTTCTGTTCTAGTTTGGAATCACCTACACTCACTTAGTCCCACTAGATAATAGAATTTCACGGAGTAGGCAGTACATCTAGACCCTGAGTTGATGAATTAAACTTACCCACTATTCTGCATTTCCAGACTGCGCTTATATTTGGTCGTAGTCTTGTGTTGTGTCATAGCGAGTCAAGTTTTTGGCATCGTTGCCAGGAAACCTCTAGGTTATTGGAGAAACGTGAAAATTTGTTTACTTTAGCATTTACTTTTCTACATTTTCTCTCTTCCCCCTGTGTGCTTTCACGGGTTGTGTTGCAGTCTGTGTGAAGGTAGTGCATGACCCATAGCCATTCAGGAGACTTGCTGCCATTAGATCAAGAGCTTGAAATAACTTGTCGTAATGTCAAGAGAGCTTTGAAAGCACGAGTGGCTGCAGAGGAAGCTCTCAGTTGAATATCAACCAAGAGGAAGAAATGGGTGACCCAAATGTTGACGCATCGGTTGTCCTCGAGGAGCACACCATGGGCTATTACTGGACCGCCCAAACCGCAGACATGAGGCCCCCCATCCAACACCCTCAAGTTTTTGCTAACAAATTTGAGGTGAGCACCTCTGTCATCACCATGTTGTGCGTCTCGGTGGTATTCCATAGGAAATTAGGCGAGTGCCCCTGAGCTCACTTAGGGCGATTCCTCGAGCTGATCGATGGAATCAAGGTTAATGGAGTCCCGCGGGAGTCCATTCAATTGCGTTACTTCCCTTTTACGCTAGAGGGATAGGCCAAGATGTGGATGGACAACAGAGCTCTGGGGTCAATCACAACTTTCACTAACCTGGCCAACAAATTCTTGACCCCCTATCATCCACTGTCCAGGACAGTAGACCTGCAGAAAAAGATTACACACTTTGGCTGGGAGGAGGATGAAACCATTCGGGATGATTGGGGGAGATACACCAGTCTCTTCCTCATGTTTCCCTATCACGATTTTAATGATGCCTTCAAGGTGAGCACCTTCTACCATGCTCTCTTCCTTGAAGACAAGCAGCTGATTGACTCGGTCTGTGGCGAGAATATGATGACAAAGATGCCACCCCAATTGAATTATCTCTTTGATGAAATGGCGGAGCAGGGCTATGATTGAGGGTCTACTAGGAGGTCGAGGAGAGCACCAGGTCGGGGTGTGCACGTTGTGGATACCCAGTCATCTGAATTGGTGCAGGTTGTCTCTAAGCTGGTATCAGCTATGATCGTAATGGGATAATCTCCAGAACAGGCCAGCAGCAGGCAATGCAGTGCCAGTGGTGCGAGTAACCACCACACGGTGGAGGACTGCCAAGCCATGCGAGAGTCCAAGACACCGCAGGAGCAGCTAAATTTCATTAATAATGCTCAGCGCAACGACCCCTACAGTAATACATACAACGAGGGGTGGCACCAGCATCCAAATTTCTCATGGAGTGGCAACAACAATCCCAAGCCATGGGGCTTCCAGGCTCCTGCAGCTAGTTTTCAGGACCAGAGACAACCATACCAGCCCCGTCCAGGCCAGATGCAGGAGCAACAACCATTTTAATAGCCCATACAGGGGCAGGCTTTTCAACAGCCCCCACAACAGCAGGACCAGCAGCCTGGTGCATCTCCATCAGTCCCATCACCGGGCGTTTCTGTGTCAGAATTTAGGGATCTAGTGACTTCCTTGGCCAACATCACTACCCATAAGTTCAGTAAAATGGAGCAATTCATGAAAGTGGTTATGGGAAAATTCATGGAGATTGAAGCTGTCCAGAGGCACCAGCAAGCACTTCTGCAGGATATGGACACCAAAATTGGACACCTGGCAGATGCCCTTACCTCCAGACCGGCTGGTACACTTCCTGGCCAACCCTTGCCAAACCCCATGGCTTGTTCATCATGTTCTAAACCGAACTAGTTGTGTATTGTTCATTTAGAACATGATGAACAAAACCCTATCGATTTCTCAATTTCGTCATGAACTAAACCCTGATTTCTGGGGGAAACACCATAGGATGTAGCTATTTCTTGATTTGATGGATTGATTCATGATTCTTTTCTTCCAATCTCTATTGCATGAAATTGCTTAATGCTTTGTGTTGACTGGCCACCAATACAACGATTTGTAGTTAATTAGGTTATAAGCAACAATAAAACCCTAATAACTGAACCTATTTCATGTGCCATAGTAACTTATCGAAGCGACAGTGGATTAAATAAGGTGCTATGCGGTCTTAAATAGGATATCGATCTTCAGGCTAAATAATTAACTCATTGAGCTACGACAGTAGGATTTGATTTAATTGTTTAGTACGTAGTAATTCCCGACAGGGATAGCTAGCACAGTAGTGATATCCTGGCTGTAGAGAGTTGGATTAAATTGATTGGAATATGTGAATTAATTTGGATATGATAGGTAGTGAATTCTGGTGTTTCTCCCAGAGCTTTCTCCCATTGATTTTCTCCCGACAGTTTTCATTTAGTTAATTTGTTTATTTTATTTTGCTTTTAGAAATTAGTCTCAGTAAACTATTTTCACTTATAGTTTGCTCATAAATTTGATAGAATATAAGGTTGTACCAGTCCCTGAGAGACGATACCCGGACTTTCCGGTTTACTACAAGATAGGAATTGAAGCTATACGCTTTTGCCCTATCAAGTTTTTGGCGCCGTTGCCGGGGACTGCCATACCTTATTTTTGTTGATTTTTGTGAGTGAACTATTTTGATCTAGGTGTTAGTGTGCAGGTGAATTTTTCAGGTTAATCCTCCTTGTGCATGCCAAGGAGGACGACTGGAAATTTACTGCCACTAGATCCCGAGATCGAGAGGACCTGCCAAAAGAACACGAAGCAGGTCAAGTTAGGGAAGCAGCCTACCACATCCACAACTCCTAGGCCTTCCCTAACTCAGAATCGTCAACCGAGAAGGCAGGTGACACCACCTGTCATCCCTACACCACTTACACCACCACGTCGCGTCATCGAGCCTGTCATCATGGCTGAACAGGATCGTTCGATCAAGGCTCGTCTGAATCGGAGGACTGGAGCCCGAGCTTCATGTGTTGTCATTCCGGCTGGGGATGAAACCATGGAAATTTCCCCAGCCTTCATCAATATGATCACGAATGGGTATACCTTCTCAGGGGCCAGCACCGAGGATCCTCATGAACATCTCCGCCGGTTTGCAAACATTTGTGACACAATGAAGAGCCCGCTGTGTCTGATGATGCCATCCGTCTTCGGATGTTCTCATTTTCTCTACTAGGGAATGCATCCCACTGGTTCCAGAACTTGACACCCCGTTCCATCACAACATGCGGTCAGCTTGAGAAGACCTTTTTGGATAAGTACTTTCCTCCTGCCAAGGCAATGAAGAGGCAAGAGGAAATTGTCACTTTTAAACAAGCTGAAGATGAAAGTCTGACCGAGGCATGGGAGCGCTATAAGGAGCTTCTAATGAGATGCCCAAGCCACGGTCTTGAAGATTGGAATGTGCTCTCCATCTTCTTCAACGGGATCAGAAGACAATTTCGAGATGCTCTGAATAATGCTTCCCGGAATGGTTTCACAAGAATGGAAGCACCAGAAGCATATGAACTGGTAGAGAAGATATGCTCTGAAGATACTGAATGGGGTAGTGAGACCGGCATTCGAAGGAGAGGAGGTTTGCATGAGATAGACAGAGTTGCAAGCTTAGAAGCAAAGATTGATGCTAAGCTGGATTCCAAGTTCGATACACTCGAACGAAGGCTGGCTAAGTTGGCCCTTGGTAGACAAGAGGAGGTTGTTTATTGCGAATTATGTGAAGGTGCTCATCATAGGGATCTATGTCCACTGGTGGCTGATCAGGTGGAAGATGTGCACTATATCAACAATCAGAGAAATCAAGGCCAGGGTGGTATGTATTCGAATACCTACAACCCACAATGGAGGAAACATCCTAACTTTTCCTGGGCAAACAACAACCCAAAGGGTGCTCGCAACATTCCACCTCCAGGCATGCAGAAACAATAACCTCCACCTCAACCAGAGAAGAAACCACAACTTGAAGAATTGCTTCTGGCTCACATGCAGAAAACCGACAATAATCTGAAGGGCCTGGATCAATTTGTCACTCAACAGCTAGCCATCAACAATAATTTACAATCTTCTATGCTAGCTATGGAGAGGCAGATGGGACAGATGGCTCAAACTCTGGCGGATATGCAGGGCAGGATTCCTGGGACATTACCGGCTAATACCGAGAGGAATCCAAAAGATGCTAAAAATGTGGCAGTGACATTGAGGAGTGGTAAGGCCTTGGAAGACCCTAGCAGCTCGAAAAAGGCACCAGAGGCAGAAGAGGAAGCACTGGGAGAAAGATCTGGTGCAGAAAATGAAGAATCAGCCTTGCACAGGCAAAATGAAAGTGGTTTGCCTGTGCAAAAGCATGCTGCCCGTGCAAAACCAGAAGAGGAAAAAGCGAAGAGGGAGGAGCTAAAACCTTATGACCCACCCGCACCATTCCCTCAAAGGTTGATGAAGCCCCTGGAGGACCCGAACTTCAAAAAATTTGTGAATCTCTTCAAGCAATTGCACATTAACATTCCGCTAGCTGAAGCTCTTGAGCAAATGCCCACATATGCCAAATTTCTTAAGGAATTGTTGACAAAGAAGAGAAAATGGACTGATTTGGAGAAAGTAACACTCACACCAGAGTGTAGTGCTGTTATCCAAAATAAATTGCCAGAGAAGAGGGAAAATCCAGGGAGCTTCACCATCCCTTGTATTGTTGGTGAGACAGAGTTTACAAAGTCGCTTTGTGATCTTGGAGCCGGCATAAACCTCATGCCATATTCTGTTTATAAGAAGCTGGGACTCCAAGATGTGATCAAGCCGACTCGAATTACTCTACAGCTGGCTGATCGATCAGTAAAGGTCCCCAAAGGTGTGGTGGAGAACGTGCTAGTGAAGGTGGGAAAGTTCATCTTCCCCGCCGACTTCGTAATTATGGAGATGGAGGAGGACAGGGAAGTACCTCTCATTCTTGGGAGACCCTTCCTAGCTACGGGGGGGGGGGGGGGGGGGGGGGGGGGGGGGGGGGGTGCTCTCATAGATGTCCAAAAGGGTGAGCTGACATTCAGAGTCTGTGGGGAAGAGGTAAAATTCAATGTATACCATGCAAGTAAGTACCCTAATGACTCTAGTGATTTGTTTGCGGTGGATATCATAGAATCATGCACTGATGCTGTTTTGAACAATGATTATGATGCTGATTCTAAGTTTGATGATTCTGATAATGAACTTGATGAGCTAACCGTGTCAAAGAGGGCACAAATGCTCAAGGCATTGCCTATGCAGGTGGAAGGTGATGAAAAGGCTAAGTTTCCAGTTAAAATGGTTCCATCTCGGATCCAGCCTCTGGAATTGGAACTAAAACCATTGCCTAGTCACCTTAAGTATGCATATCTGGGGGAAAACTCCACTTTATCTGTGATTGTTTCTGCTACACTGACTGATTCGCAGGAACAGGAGCTCTTGAAGGTCTTACGCCAGCACATACAGGCTTTAGGCTGGACAATTGCCGACATCAAAGGCATTAGTCCAGCATTTTGTATGCATAAGATCCTTCTAAAGGAGGAGTCCTAGCCCTCCGTCCAGGCACAAAGGAGACTAAACCCGCACATGAAAGAAGTAGTGCATAAAGAGGCAATGAAGCTATTGGATGCAGGTATTATTTACCCTATCTCTGATAGTACTTGGGTTAGTCCCGTGCATGTGGTCCCTAAAAAGGGAGGAATGACAGTAGTGAGAAACGATAAGGATGAGATGATATCTACCCGAACTGTTACGGGCTGGAGAGTGTGTATAGATTATAGGAAGTTGAATGAGGCGACCCGAAAGGATCACTTCCCTCTTCCTTTTATTGATCAAATGCTCGAACGGTTGGCGGGTCATTCTCACTACTGCTTCCTATATGGTTACTCCGGTTATTTTCAGATCCCAGTAGCACCGGAGGATCAAGAGAAAACTGCTTTTACATGTCCTTTTGGTGTTTTTGCATATCGTAGAATGCCTTTTTGATTATGTAATGCACCAGCAACCTTTCAGCGGTGCATGACTGCCATATTCTCTGACATGTTAGAATCGAGTCTTGAAGTTTTCATGGATGACTTTTCGACTTTTGGTACTAGCTTTGAACACTGCTTGGCTAACTTGTCTAGAGTTTTGCAGAGATGTGAAGAGACTAATCTAGTCTTGAACTGGGAAAAATGTCACTTCATGGTGACAGAAGGTATAGTGCTTGGTCATCGAATTTCGGCGAGGGGGATAGAAGTTGATAAAGCTAAGATTGAAATCATAGAAAAACTTCCCCCTCCCAGCACAATAAAAGGAATTAGAAGTTTTTTAGGTCATGCCGGTTTTTACCGGAGATTTATTAAAGACTTCTCAAAGATCACCAAGCCTTTATGTGATTTGTTGGCCAAAGATACTGGGTTTAACTTCTCTGATGAGTGTTTGCAGGCTTTCAATCGACTTAAGAAGGAGTTAACCTCTGCTCCCATTATCACTGCACCCGATTGGACTTTACCATTTGAAATTATGTGCGATGCTAGCGACTATGCAGTCGGGGCAGTTTTGGGGCAGAGGAAGGAAGGTAAGTTGCATGCGGTGTACTATGCAAGTAAGCTTCTAAATGATGCACAATTGAACTATTCCACTACTGAAAAAGAACTGCTTGCTGTGGTGTTTGCTTTTGATAAATTTCGATCTTATTTGATGGGATCGAAAACAGTTGTGTACACTGACCATGCAGCTATACGGCACCTTCTTTCAAAGAAGGAGGCCAAGCCGAGATTGCTTCGTTGGGTTCTTCTTTTGCAGGAATTCTACGTTGAAATTCGGGACAAGAAGTGTTCGGCTAATCTGGTAGCCGATCACCTTTCTAGACTTGAGCTTGAGGCAATTCCTAAGGACGGAGGTTGAGATTAATGAGTCTTTTCCAGACGAGCAGCTTTATGCTCTCCTTGTCCAACAAGCTCCCTGGTATGCAGATCTTGCGAACTATCTCGCCACAGGTAAGCTTCCTGATTTGTCTTGTCAACAGCGCAAGAAGTTGATTACTATTGCCAAGAATTATATATGGGAAGACCCCTTCCTGTATAAGCATTGTGCTGATACCATGGTAAGACGATATGTTCCTGAGTGTGAGGTAAAGTCAGTGCTAAATTTCTGTCATAGTATGGCCGCAGGAGGTCACTTTGGACCTCATAGGACAGCAGCAAAGGTGTTACAATCTGGATTTTATTGGCCTTCTCTATTTCGAGATGCCCGTGATTTTGTTGCTCAATGTGATAGGTGCCAAAGAACAGGGAACATATCTGCAAGGATGGAGATGCCGCAGACCTCGATTTTGGAGGTAGAGATGTTTGATGTATGGGGAGTGGATTTCATGGGGCCATTCCCACCGTCTTTCAACAACAAATATATCTTAGTCGCAGTCGACTATGTATCCAAGTGGGTGGAGGCAGTGGCGTTGCCCACCAATGACTCAAAGACGGTGGTGAATTTCATGAGGAAGAACGTGTTCACCAGATTCGGAGTCCCTCGAGTTCTCATCAGTGACGAGGGCACGCACTTCATGGGAAAGGAGTTGAACACGTTGCTGGCCAGATATGGGGTTAAGCATCGAGTTGCTACACCCTATCATCCACAAACCAGCGGGCAAGTGGAAGTTTCCAACAGAGAACTGAAACACATTCTGGAGACGATGGTGAATTCAACAAGGAAAGATTGGGCAAGGAAGTTAGATGATGCACTCTGGGCATACCGGACTGCTTTCAAGACTCCTTTAGGCATGTCTCTGTACAGATTGGTGTTTGGAAAAGCTTGCCACTTGCCCGTCGAGCTCGAGCATAAGGCGTATTGGGCTATCAAGAAGCTGAACTTTGATCTAAAAACTGCTGGAGAGAAGCGCCTGTTGCAACTAAATGAGCTCGACGAGATTAGGCTTAATGCCTAATCTAATGCCTGAATTTATAAGGAGAAAACCAAGAAGTGGCACGATCACCACATACTGAGAAGAGAGTTCAAGGTGGGAGAGAAGGTATTACTTTTCAACTCACGCCTTAAACTCTTCCCTGGAAAATTAAAGTCAAGGTGGTCCGGACCATTTATCCGTGGTATGTTTTAGCCAATTGGTGCTATTTTAGGGCTCGCTAACTAGAGAATGGTTTAAAAACCATTACTGCCTAGTGCCATGAGTTTGATGTATTACAGGTGAAGAAAACACGAAAAAGAAGTTGCACCGGCAAATAATTCTCGAATGCTGGGCTTAAAGTCCAGCTGGATGGGGATATATGACAGGCGGCCATAGTGCAGGCGGGAATACTTAAAAAACAAGAAATGGGCCAAAGCCCATTCGCTTTTTGGGGCCATGGGCTTTGGCCCATTTCTTGTTTTTTAAGTATTCCCGCCTGCACTATGGCCGCCAGTCATATCTCCCCATCCAGCTGGACTTTAAGCCCAGCATTCGAGAATTATTTGCCGGTGCAACTTCTTTTTCGTGTTTTCTTCACCTGTAATACATCAAACTCATGGCACTAGGCAGTAATGGTTTTTAAACCATTCTCTGGTTAACGAGCCCTAAAATAGCACCAATTGGCTAAAACATACCACGGATAATCACATAAAGTCCAAGAATCCGATATATTAAAGCCGAATATCACAACCCCACACTCAATTGTTGCTTTTCCCTAAGCAACGACTCAAACAACACAAACACAAAACCATCCAAAACAATGACACACCACAGACTCAACACTCAAAGCAAAACACAAAATTTCCTTGTACTCTTGTAGTAATCAGTAGTTTCTTTCTCAAAGGACAAGTTGTGCTCTAATGATCATACCTTTCACCCCACACTCAAGGTCTTTGCGACCCTTAACCATTGACTGACTCAAATCCATCCAAAAACTCAAATAGCAGCACTCAATTCAGGTCGTCAGTAGCAGGTGATTAACAACTTATGGTGCAGCAATTATTAGGAGAATCTAACCACATCAGTGAGGTGCATATCTCGTGAGGACAATCTGGCTTACTCACACCAATCATAAGCAATTAATTAAGCATGAGTCTCAAAAACTAATGGGGGAAGCCTTTTGCAAACATGATTTTAACTTTAAGCACATCACTACCTTTTATGACAAGGAGAGGCTTTATCTCTTTCTGCTTTTGCTTGCCGAGAGGTCGTATTTAGTACAAGTGGGATTTGTTTCTTACTACCGGTGACCGAGCAAGAGCAATTTTTGCTTCTTAGCACTCGCATAAGGTCTTCTTTCAACTCCTTTTCCTCGGTCCGTGTGGAGGGTCATTGCATCCTCAAATGGCACTTCACTCAACTGGGGATCGTACTTGATAAGCAACATCGTACGGTCGCGAACCGATTCTCAATTGAATCTTTCCTCATCCCCATGTGCAATGAGTGATTGCCTCACACGATTTTGGCATTTTTACCCACACTTTAATTGTTATGGCAACTTTCTTATATTTTACTTGTCAGGTAGTGTTTTCTTTTATAAAGATACAGTTCACCCCATCATAAAACATTCAAAACAGAGAGACTCATTGCAAAATTGAAAGCTCACAATTGATGCAAGTTAGCACGGTATCCAAACATATCGAATGGTCAATGTTCTCCACCTAACTACTTCACCAAAAGCCGTTACACTATCCTCACAAAAGAGAATGTTGCTAAAAGAGTTTGCTACTTCAAAGCACATCAAGTCAGTCAAAATATCAAGCTCATTGTGAAGAACCATGCAATTAAACACTAGTGGGGTGATTTCGATGATTTCATTCAAGCACAAACTCATATCACACGCATCACAGTCATTTACATCATGTTACCACAAGAGTACAAGGTTTTGTTTTTATTTTTTCTGATTTTTAGGTGTTTTTTAGCCATTAGATTAACACAGGCAGCCTGCTTTTTACACAGGCAAACTGCATGCAGTTTGGCTGTGCTCAACCTAATCGCCGATTGAGAATAGCCTGGTCGCCTTTTGCTATGCTGCTGCCTTGCGCTTTCTTTCTCCTTTTCCCTTTTAGAATTCTGCCCGCCACCAAAACAAAAAAAACAAAAGTGCCGCCCACCACGAATTAAGTTCCGCCCTCCTCATTCTCTTCTGTTCCGCACCAGCTAAAAATTCCAAGCCCGTCTCCTCCAAAGAATTCCGTTCCAACCCTCTTCCGCCCTCTAATTCAATTCCATGGCCCCAAAAAATGGCCGCCCAAATCCTTTCTTCCTTTGGGCCTGGCCCAATCATTCTCCGCCCAAATTTATTTCCCAGCTCCCCATTTTCAGTTCCACCGCCCAGCACAAGGAGACCAAGCGAATGAGCTTTGGCCCATTTCTTGTTTTTTAAGTATTCCCGCCTGCACTATGGCCGCCAGTCATATATCCCCATCCAGCTGGACTTTAAGCCCAGCATTCGAGAATTATTTGCCGGTGCAACTTCTTTTTCGTGTTTTCTTCACCTGTAATACATCAAACTCATGGCACTAGGCAGTAATGGTTTTTAAACCATTCTCTGGTTAGCGAGCCCTAAAATAGCACCAATTGACTAAAACATACCACAGATAATCACATAAAGTCAAGAATCCAATATATTAAAGCCGAATATCAGGAGGCATTAGCTTCAGTTGCCTTTCCCTTGTTTTTCATTGTTCCTTGTTTCTCCCTATCACAATTTCATAATGAAATGAGAATCAGGCACAACAAGTCGAGAAAAATGACAAAGTGGTAGAGGAAATGACGAATGGAACGGAGCAGAGCAATTGAGGTATGGTCTTGAGGCAAGGGTCAAGGAGACGAACTGAAGTCTGTCCAAACACAAAAACTTACATTCAATCGAGCAGGACTTTTGATGTCAACAAGTAGAGCAGATGTGGAGAGGACGACGGCGTGCGATGCGCCTCTAAGCGTTGACCGCCAAACACGAATCGTGCAGGGACGGCGATGGAGGCCGGTTCTGGACGAGAACGGACGATGGCAGATGGATTTTCTGATATATGTGATTTAGTGGATGAGAAGGGACGGTGACGATTGCGCCGTCGAGTAGGGCTGGGAATCCCATGTTGTGTCGTCGTGGTTATAGGTAGCGCAAGGGAACTAGGGTTTCCTTTCTTTTCGATTTGGGAAAGTGATAGAGGAAAGAAAGAATTCGCAGGCTAGGGCTGGGGAAATGGGAACTGTCAAGGCTGGAAGGGGTCGGGTCAATAGTCGGCTACTGGGCTTGGGGTGGGGTTTGTTTGTTTGGCTGGTCTAGAAAATGAAGTATTGGGTTGCGGTTAGGTGTATCTCCTGTTTCGATTGTGGTTAAACCGCAAACAGCAAAAGACTCATTATCTCCAACCGCGACCGCAAAAGAGGTTGTTTTGTGTGCGGTTAACCACTAACCTCGCGGTTTTGGTGCGGTTAGCGATTTAACCACAAAATTGCAACCGAATTCCCAACAATAGTAACGGATAACAAGAGATTTGCGATATCAAAGATTTGTTGTGACTTTTTGTCATCTGTCGACGTATACTCTCTTGGTGGAAGACCCATTTCCCCCCTCCCCCCCCCCCCCCACCTCTCAGCAATTAGAAAATGAAGGGAAGATGGCCCCTTCTCGCCCAATTATAGCTTGGGCTACTAGCCTCAGTTTTGGGTATTCGGCCTTATCACTAAGCTAGCTACACCACCCATGCATTTCAACGTTAATTTCACAGTCACACTGACTTGTAGTACCAACGATATGATGTAAATTTTTACCAAACAAAAAAAATCCTAATCGATCCAATTTAATTTGACTGTTATTCAATAGGTTCATCACAAAATATTAAACCTCCTTATTCGAGTTCTTCTACAATGTCACCCCATGGCCCGCCTCACTAGCTCCCCTGAACCTTCCGCTTCCATCAGCTCCTTGACCCGGTGCTCCACCTCTGCCGCCTCCACAAACCCGCTCTCGTTAACCTCAACTATCGACAACGCAATCTGAATCTCCTCCACTAGTAGAACCCGATTGAACTTCTGCTCCGCATAGATCGGCCACACCACCATCGACACCCCGGCTCGAAACGCTTCCAGCACCGAGTTCCACCCGCAATGGGTAACGAACCCACCTACCGACTCGTCACCCAATACCTCCACTTGCTAAAGGACAGTTGGAGATGGATATTCTGAGAGTGATCGGCAATGGAAAGAGCACTAGGGTGTACAATGATCCATGGGTACAAACTTTACAGGGACAAAGGATTCAGAGGCAGGACCAACCATCTGTTTGGGTAGCTGAATGGATCAACCAGCAGAACTGGGTTTGGGACGATGAAAGACTTAACAGGTTCACATCAGCACAAGAAGGGGAAGCTATTCGAAGAATCTCAATCGGCCACCAGGACGCTGCTGATTTCTGGGCCTGGAAACCGACGATTGTTGGATGTTTCTCGTTGAGATCGGCTTATAGATCAGTCCCAAGAGAAGTCAGCTGACCGGTGGACAAACTGCAACTTCTCAACAGAGGGAAAAAGAAAAAGCGAGATGGCTATGGGGAACTGCTCTTCCACCAAAAATGAAGTTCTTTTGTGGAGGTGTGCGAGAGGAGCTTTGGCTACAAAATCAAAGATTTCCTCCCGTAATTGCTCTCCCTCCCCTGAGTGCCCAGTATGCACATGTTGCCCGGAGACCATTCATCACTGCCCTTTTTAGTGCGGCCATGCTCGCGAGACGTGGAAAGCTTGTTTCCCTTCCATTTCCACACCTCCTCCTCTGACTAATGCTCTTGATTGGCTTTTCCAGCTCCAAAAAGGAATCCCAGAGAAGTCAACTCATCTCATCATCTACCTCTTGTGGGCGATTTGGTTGGCAAGAAACGAAAAGGTGTTCGACAATGTCACCCCATGGCCCCCTCGTTCATGCTCCAATGCTGCTCGTGATCTAAAGCAATGGACAGACTGTCCGAAGGTCCCCTTGCAACAGAGACACACAACGGATCAGCGTACTCCCCCCCCAGAACATCCCCGCTCCACCGTCAAGCAATCCCATCTTTGAGATTCACTGTGATGGTTCATTCTTTAATGAATCCCAGGAGGCGGCTTATGGTTATGTGATTATCAATGGCCATGGACAGGTTTGTGATGGCGCGACTGGTCCTGTTACTTGTTCCTCGCCAATTGAAGTTGAAGTTATGGCTCTTCAAGAAGCTATTAAAGCAGCTAAAAGACTGAAAGCAACGGTACGCGTGAAATCCGACTGTCTCTCCCTTGTGAAGGCAATGGTTCTGCCACTTGAATGTTGGTCGTGGGCTTGTGCAGCAAGACTCAGTGTTATGACCGCCATTCTTAACAGTGAGCCAAGCATTAAGGTTGATTTCATCCAAAGAAAGAACAACTTTCGGGCGGACTGGATTGCACGCTCTTTCAATCAGAGATCCCTCCCTGCGGATTGGATTACTGTTTTGAATGTCATGGATTCTTTCTTTACTGATGTACCCTGAATTTTGGTTTGAGGAATCAAAGTTACAAAGATTTACCACTGTCAAAATAAAAATACCTCCACTTGCGGAGCCCACGACTTCACCACGTGTCCCCTCACTTTCGTTCGCTCCAAAAACCCGTAAGGAAGCAAACCCTCCAACGATAGGTCTGGATCCTTTACCGAAACGTCGACATTTCGCTTGTCCCCACCCGATGGTGAATCTCGCACGACCCATAGAAATTGCTGCCCGCTCCTCTCCAGGTCAATAGCAATCTCCCTCAGTTGCTCCGGGTCTAGGGAAAATATCCCCAAGCTGCCAAAGCACAGGAAAATATCCCCTAATACCAGACCCAACAAATCCTCCCCTAAACTCATAACATTTCTAGTTTGAGTTTACCAAACTTCAGCAGTGAATTGCATCAGCTCCTTGTATAACAGAAAGTAGCAACTTCAGACTCCACACGGGAGAAACACAGCCCTGTACCCGTGCTCTAGACATATTACACATATCTGGAATAGGACGTTCTCTCTCAGAACCATCAGTCCATTCTCAACCATTTCATTTGCACCTTCATCATCTTGATTGGCTGATCTTTTTGCAGCAGCAAGAGTATGTGAGGTACTCATCAATGACTGTATCCATGACGACATCATCATCCATAATGTTCATCATGACCTGGAGTTCCAATTGATTCTGTAACAGACTGAAACCAATTTTGATGCTCCCCGGAAGAGACTTGACATCTCAATGCTCCTCACTGCCTCCAACTTTTTGCTAGTTTCTATGCATATCTTCAGGTTAGACTGCAGACTAACTGAACTTCATCATGGAAGAGCAAATTAAGGATTGAGTGTTCACTTCCAAAAGTGCTCATAGTCACCTCTTCTAATGTGAGTTCCACTGCACCAGCATCCATATTATTGATGTATAAAGTGACTTGTTATATCAAAGGTTAAATGCGCATGCATAGAAAAAAGGGTGAATCAGCCACCATCCCAAGGTTTGACATCCAACTGAATAAATAGCTTCCCACCTTTATTTTTACTTGGCAGAAGATTTGTCATTCTCCCTCTCCTCTACTGCCTTCTTATCCTCTTCAATCCACCAACTCCAACACCAGCATTTTCAAGGGAAGCTTGAAGCAGGCTTTGAAGATAAAGAGTTGTTCCACTTGATGTCATCGGGAAGGAATCATAACACCCTGAACTCCCTCTACTCCAATGTCGCCTTCTCTCCATAATGTATGATGGCTTGCTGCTCAATTCGCTTCACTCCAAGAATCTTTAGGAATTTCTCAGGCTCCGCATTACACAACCATATGAACAAACTTCCTCCCCTAAACTGAAACGTCCTTTTCGGTTTACTTCAAAACAAGCAGCACTAGAAAGCAACTTTCTCTTTTAAGTTCATCAAGCAACCAACAACATCGTAATTTAGTATCCTTGTTCTTTGAAAAAAAAAACACAACAACAAACACATAAGCTTCTGCAGCAATGTTATCTAGTCTCCCATGAGACTGACATATCATACTAGTTTCAGTTCAACTTCACTGTCTATGATATTCTTTCTAGCAAGTCATGCTCAACTGTTTCCCTAATTTCTTCACTGTACTCTCTAGACCTGTCCTCTCAGGTCTCTCCTTCTATGTCATCTTCCAACAAGCGAGAACCGCACCCCAAAGTGAAATTTTCAAGCTCTCAAATTGTTACTTGTTGCGTGACATAGCAATTGAGTACTTCTCATCCAACCATTCGCCCACCGAATAAGGACCAGCCACTCTGCTGCCTACTCGTCGAATGACTTAGAAACCAAACCTGTTTCACTCACAGGTTACACCACTTACTTTACTCATAAGTATGTCTAGCTAAGATTAAACCAACCTGCTTCACTCAGAGGTTACACCACCTACTTCACTCGTAGGATGTCCAGCTGGCATTTCCTTAAATAGTTTCCCAAGCATCCTTGCACAATTATGGATTCTCTTAATCCAATTATAGCTGCAATATCTAACCACTGCTCAAACTCCTCTACCTTCTATCTCAAACCCATTCATTGTTTCAGCAACCTTCTGTTTCAGTGGTACAATCACTTTCCCAACATCTTGTGCCTCCTACTGCAACTAGAGACTAACACAATACGTTTTGGTACCTAAAATTTTTCATTATGACATTTTGGTACCTAAATTTTTTACATTTTTACATATTGGTCATTGATTGAGGATGTCATTTGGACTCATGAATAATCCACCAATCCACTTGATCCAATCCATGAATCCACCAATCCATTTGATCCATGGATCCAATCCACCAATCCATAGATCAATCCATTTGCCACCTCTATTTAGTACTCACAGTCAAGTCGCTACTTTCTCACATACCCATCTTGCACAAAACATGACCTCAAAGCCGGAGCTGCTCTCAGATCACGTCCAATTTCGTTTGCTTTGACATAAGGTGATTGCACGCTATCTTCGTCACCCTCGCTCCCAAATGAATTCTCCAATGTCCACTTCTTCCTCTCCATGATCTCAAAATCAATCACAATATCATCATCCTCTTGTTCCAATTATCTATTCCTGCTCCCAGAAACTCTAAACTTCTCTTCCAGAACTTGACTCACTGTGTGTCCCTCAGCAACCTCTTTCTCTTCCTCCCAACCATTTTCACATGAAGCAGCAGCAGAACATTCTCCATTTTACTTCCCTGAAAGCCTCTTATATCAACTTCATCCTCTCTAAAAATGCTGCCACCGGGGGACGAACGGATCCTTTCATCCTCCGCCGACATGTCCAGCAAATTTCCAGAGACAATAGCTCTCCTTTCCTTAAACCATCTTTCGACGGTCAATCAGCCGTGTCCTCCCGTCGAGCAGAAAAGTGAAGAGGAAGCAGCTGTCTCCAACAGTATGTAACTCCACTTCCAATCGTCAATAATTTTTTTTCTTCTCCACTAGTTGAGTCTCGACCTTTCTTCCCCTCTTTGCTTTGAAACTGATTCAATTTCGATAATCCCTCCACACTTCAAATTATTAAGATACACGGAAGGAGCTCGTTGGCGGTGATAATTGCAGCTCAGTGGTAGCCATAATGGACCTGGCCCAGATTCGCACATCCAGCCCAGCCGAGCTATTCCTCACAAGCTTGATCTGCGGCCCATTCATGTTCTATATTTGATTGTCCTTGTACAGTTACCCTAGACACAAGTAGAGAAGGGTATAAATATGCTTGTATAGCCGACGGCCACAACCAAGAATAATCAAATAAGATTTCAGCTTGGAGAGCGAGTGCTCTCCCGTGGATCATATATCACAACACTAACACGCCCCCTAGCCAAATCAACATTCCTTGAGAGAGTTATCGCTATTCCAATTTCAAGATAGCGTATAACGACGAAGACAAATACCTCATTGAAATTCTGGATTAAATCGTTCCTCTGCCAGAGCAAATTCCCAATGCAAATCATCATGCCTCCACCACATTCTCCGGGCATTCTTCACTTAAGTTTCGCCCATATAATATCGTTTAGCCGGAGAGTCCGATTGGAATCTGATGAACAGCCATGTGAAAAACGCCTCGGCAGCTATTGAATCAGCCTAGTTAATTTGCTAATTTGAAGATTCGTTAGTATAATACTAACTAATATTCAAAATGTATGAACTAATATCCAAATCTGCTAGTATCTAGATATCACAAACTAATATTCAAAACATCACAAACTAGTATCTACATAGCAAATACCAACTAATATCCACAATCAACCAACTAGTATTCAATATGGATACTCTTGTGGATTATCTGGACACTCTTATGTGTTATCTAGATACTACTTATGTGCTGTTTGGATACTATTCTGTGTTATCTATATATTAGTTTGTGAATTTAGGATAATAGTTGATTCATGGTGGGTATCAATTAGCAAACTTTGAATACTAGTCTGTACTCTCTAGATACTTTAGTACTTGGATATTAGTTCATGTAATTTGGATATCAGTTAGTATCTGCTAACGAATCTTCAAGTTAGCAGATTAACTTTCCCCCTGTTGAACACCTCTGCCAATGTCTCCACTTCGAACAAACAAACTCGCCGCGACCACTGCTTCCACCACGCCGTTGTTGCTTCCCAATTGGTGTCTCCACTCAATGACTCTCGTAACGCGGGCAATCTTCTCCTCCCTATGTCGTGTGGCTTGAGAACACCTCCACCTACCGATTCTTTAGTTGGACGAAACCCTGATTTCATAATCTCTCATAACTATTTTCTCCTTACAGACAATAGGTCGGCGGTGACCATGGTGGCCACCACCGTCGGAACTCAGGATCACTTTGGTTTTAACCTTATAAGGCTCTGATACCACTTTGTTAACACAATTGAGAGCAAAACTAACTAACACTTTATTGATGGAATGAACAACATATAAATACATAACTTTGGCCGCTGATGTAGGCCACGACAAACAGCTTTCAACCTCCCTAGTTTCCAGCCCACTACTAACAGACTTCCTTACTTGACTATAGTAACCTGACTCGCATAATGACTCAATAACCAGACTCAAACAAAGCTATTCAAAAACCTAAATACCAGACCCAACAGCGCTGGAGGTAGAGTGATAGAAACCTAATTCTTTGGAATTTCTATTATTAATTATGGTAGGATAATTATTATTAGGATTAGTAGTATTTGGGTAGTATTAGGTTATTTGTTAGGGTTTTCCAGTATTTTTCCTATAAATATGTACTCGGGCATTCATTGACGATTAAGCAGAAATCAGTAAAATAATCATCTTCCCAAACCCTAAGTTCTTCCTAGTTTCTCTTCTTCCCTAGTCCAAGGCTTCGGCCGATTTTTTATTGTGTTCTTCCTCTCCTAATTCCAATCTCAATCCCTAATTTTGTTCTTTAATCCCTAAATCCCAATTTCACCATTCGATCGATTGAATCCTAAAACCAGGTTCTATCATGGAGAAGTTTCGGTGGAGAGCAACGGGGTCGAGGACGATGCTGATCCGATGCAGTCACCGGTACAGGAGGGTGAAACATCATCACCTGCGTAGGTTCTGCTGCCACTACATGTGGCTGAAATTATCACAATACCACGTCCACCAACAGAGGTCGCCGCAGTTGTTGTTGACTTCTTGACAGTCGAGTCATCGTCGTGCAAGCATGCAGCTGTTGTTCAGATCCACACGTCGATAACAACATCTGCCATTAAGGTCACGACACCCTCGTCCTGGACGATGACACAAATCACCACTGCCACTGTCGGAGTTGTGGGAGAGCACTCCTCCACAGCGAACGGAGAACTCGCTAAGTGCGTCTCCCAAAGAGCATCCCCAACAAATCCACCGATTGACGGGTGGAAGTTTCGGAAGAAGACGCTTGGGACTGGAGAAGAAGAATCGGAGACCACCGCGTTCCCCAGTACCTCGATCGTCGCACCGTCGACCGACGCGTTTTCGGAATCGCGCTGTTGCTGTTCGTCGGATGGCCTGCCGACGGAACGGAAGTCGACGAAGTTGTTATCGAAGGAGGAAACATCGCTGGAGCTTGGGACGCCGGAGGACGAGGTGGCAACGTCGGGTGCACTGCTGACGATGGAGACGCCACGGCCGAAAGGACGTTCAGCGACATCAGCCGTGCAAGAGAGGACGGCCCCGTTCGGCGCGCTTGCGGGGGAGAAGATGGAAGAAGCTGGCCAGCCTTCGTATTGGCGGAGGACGAACCGCCGGGCGGATTGCTGGTCGGCGGGGATGATGACGACGAGGGTCGAGACGGCGGAAGACTGGGCTGCCTCGCCAGAGCTGGGGAAGAAGGAGTCGTCGGCGATGGCGGGCTGGTATGGACAGATAAGAGCCCTAGGCTCGTTGCCGAACCAGTTTCCGATCAAGGCTGATGTTGGGCCCAAGTGGATGTTCGTCATGCCACCATGGCCGCCAACAGTCCGTAGTACCTCGTATGCCAAGACTCTGGTTGTCGCCTCGAACGTCAACCGTGTTGTTCATAGATGGACCCTGGAGAGAGCCGATGCAATTGAGGAGCAAAAGCTAAGGTTACAGCAAGGGATGCAAGAAGTAATGGTCGCTTTGGGGAGAGGGATCCTTACCCAGTGGTTCGAATGGAAGCTGGGAAAAGAGTGGAAGTTGCAACTGCAAACTGATGGATTCGATGCCAAGAATCAGAAGTGGGTTGTGGAAGGTTTAAATGTCCTTTATATCTTGAGGCATAATTTGTGGAGGGATAGAGGATATCAGGATGAATGGCTTCGAAAGGAACTTGAGAACAGTACAACTATTATCGACGCCAGTACGAGACGTGTGGTTGTGGTGCTCTTTGGCTCGGAAGAAAAAGGGACGGAGAGCTCAATAATTGCACTATTTCCAATGCGATTTGGTCATGCAGACAGAACTAGGGAAGCTATGGCAGTTAGAGGTGGCAATTTCAATCCAATCCACCAATCCAATCTATCAATCCATTAAAAAAATCCACCTAATCCAATCCATTTAAATCCAATCCATTTTATCCAAATCCAATTGGATTGGTGGATTCATGGATTGGATCCATGGATCATTGGCAAATTACGGTTTAGTACCTATAATTTTTACTTTTTACATTTTGGTACCCAAAATTTATTTTTTTATACGAAAAATATCATTGGAAAATTACATTTTGGTACCTAAAATTTTTCATTATGTCATTTTAGTACCCAAACTTTTTACATTTTACATATTGGTCCTTGGTTGATGATGTCATTTGGATTCATGGATAATCCACCAATCCACTTGATCCAATCCATGAATCCATCAATCCATTAGATCCAATCCATTTGATCCATGGATCCACCAATCCACCAATCCAATCCATTTGCCACCTCTAATGGCAGTATACCAGAAGATGGAGGAGAAAAGATGGCAGGAGCTAGCTTGTACAGCTAGCAGGAGCTTGCTTATACAGAGGACGCAGCTTCAAGGTCATAAAGAGTGGTTGGGTGAAGTTAATTGCTCTGGGAGCCTTTTTCATCCCAAATTGGTCAAATTGATTGATTATTATATTGGAGAAGAACCAAAGTTGCAGGTGTACGAGTTTATGTCTTGGGGGAGCTTGCCTATCCACCTCTTCAGGAGGTACTCGCCACTTCTGTGGCCGATCAGGATGCCAATTGCCCTTGGTGCCGTGGAAAGTGTAGTTTGCGTACTTGTACGCAATTGGAAATGGAGGAAGGTCATTTTTGTTGGAGGTGCTTGTGTTATGAGTCGGGTTCGAGTGTTGGAACTCAATTGGAAGAAAAGGAAGCGTAAGAAATGAAAGAATCGACGCCTGAAGTTCGCGAGAAAGGTGGAGATGTGGGCCGACTCGGTCAACCTTGAGTGCAAGGTTGGTCTCAAGGGGAGGGATGATAGAAACCTAATTCTTTGGAATTTCTATTATTAATTATGGTAGGATAATTATTATTAGGATTAGTAGTATTTGGGTAGTATTAGGTTATTTGCTAGGGTTTTCCAGTATTTTTCCTATAAATATGTACTCGGGCATTCATTGACGATTAAGCAGAAATCAGTAAAAGAATCATCTTCCCAAACCCTAAGTTCTTCCTAATTTCTCTTCTTCCCTAGTCCAAGGTTTCGGCTGATTCTTTATTCTGTTCTTCCTCTCCTAATTTCAATCTCAATCTCTATTTTTGTTCTTTAATCCCTAAATCCCAATTCCACCATTCGATCGATTAAATCCTAAAACCAGGTTCTATCATGGAGAAGTGGTATCCGGGGATGTTGAGCTCGGCGGCGACGGAGAGCGCGGCGGTGCTGAAGAAGTCGAGGATTAGAGCCTGGACGACGGCGGATCGGGAGATTATTTGTTCGAGGGTAGCGCGGAGGTGGGGGAGGCTGAGGCGGAGGGTCTCAAGCACGAGGATCTCGTGGTGAGGTGATTCGGGAAAGACCGCGGTGGCTGGAGGAGGCGGTGGAAGATGATGGAGGGAGTGGAGGCGGAGGCGATGTAAGGCGCGGTGACGTCGACTTGGTAGGGCAGTGGAGGGAGGACGATGTGGATGGAGAAGTAAGGGCGGTGGGTTAGGATGAGGCGGCCCAGCTCCACCATGGATATCAAGTGGCCTATAGCCGGCGATGGGTAAAGCACTATGGCTTCTTCTCCCATGTTTGCGGATCGATTGAATTTCAGACCAGCTTCTTTTCTTTCGGAGCAGAGCAGAGAAGTTTTTTGTGGAGGCAGGGGAAAGTGATTTGGCGGAAAACAACAAAATGGACGAACTTGTGGCGGGCGGGAAAGTGATTTGGCGGAAAACATCAAAGGGTGCTGGGTGTCTGTCTGATATGTGTGTCGTTTTTCAATTACCTATATGCGCTCATAATCATCCTGTCTGTATCACTAAAGGAAAAGTTGCGTTAACCACATTCTAAGTTCATATGGTGGCGCTTCATTGATTCATCAAGAGGATCATCTAAAGTGATACCAGAGCAATGTCAACTAGAACAATGGATTCACAAAGGCAATAGCGCAAATAACCCTACCTGATTTCAGTAGTCACACAATACTCTTACAGAAACGTATGCATCAAAGACGTCGAATGAGGGGACAAACTATCTGCAGCAAGTTCTCGACTGCCATCTTTCAAAGAGGTCGCTCCATGGAGCTAGCTACTTCAAAACCAAATTTGTAATTGTGTTCCGCTACCGAGGCATAGCAGAGCCAGAGTGATGTATGATCCACTACAATTTGGATGACAGCTACTTCCACTGCGTGGTTGTTTAAGCGATGCTTCTTACGTATTGGTCAAGAGCAGTGTTGAAAAGCTCGCACCTGCGCGGAGAAATGCAGTCCACTGTGAGCATCGATCATACCATCTCAAATGCAGTGCTTCATTACACAACAGCCCTCATTTTGGCATTTTGATCTGATCTCTACGGATGCCTAGTAATGTAGTCTAACCCCAAAAGCTTTAAGATTATATGGTTTTACAGTTAGCTGCAACAATCACTCGCACAGCTTCTTGTAATCAAATTTAGCAGTTTCCCCCTAATTGCGCATGGTTGTAGCACAAGCTCTTGTCATCATTACAATTCAATCCACATTCAAAGCTTCAATTCCTCTGCCTAGAGGATCAAATCCCGTCAGAAGTGGAAATGACGAGTGGCATGAATACGTTACCTGACAGGGGCTCCAGGAGTGTACAGTGGGTTCTTCACAACATATTCCACATACAAGTTGTAAATGTACTTGAGCGAGTCCCTCAGATCACCAGTTTTAGGATGAGTTACCAAGATTATCTGAAAAAATTATCAACACAAAAGAGAAAGAACACAGGTAAACATCAAGCGATATGGGAATAGACAATGCTCCGTCCTCGATAGATCCTAATACGAGAACTTGAATTAGACCAATAATGAATCGCTCCAGCTGACAAATGAGATTCTCAACAATGACACTGCAAAACCAATATCAGATGGAAGAAGCAGAGAGTATTCACCTTTATCCCAGAAGGAGTTTCCATGAAACTAAGCTTATAGGTATTGGTACGAAAGCTGTGAAAAGAGCACCCCTGGCCAGGTAACTGAGGAACTCCAAGGTTCCCTTTATCAGCACTGTCCACATAACCAAACAAACAAATCGACAGAGTTCAGAGAGCTGGATACATCTAGCAACAGAAACACTGCAATCCGAAAACCCTAAAGAAGAAAGCAAAACCTCGTGGGATCCATCTTGGCGGTCAAGGACTTGAGGGAGAAGAGCAAACCGAACATGAGCTTGTGGTCTTGTTGCTCATTCAGTGTGTGAAGCGGCCGATTCCACTCCTTGTACAGCAAGCACACGCCGTTCCTGTTGAATACATATATCATGTGTGCATTATTCCCCGGCGCGGTGGGCGCCGGCGGGGATGGACTGATGTCGGAGCCTCCGAAGAACTGCATTCTTCTCCTTGGCCGTCAATCTACAGAAGAGAAGCGGATCGATTTGAAACTTTTAAGCAATCGAAGAAATCCAGGAACAATTGACCTAGTTATGGCCTGGAATTGTTCGAAATGAAACAAAGTTTGATCCGCGAACTAATCCGAGAAACACAATCTGATTGGATTGCTGGACAAGAATGGAGTACGGATCTTACCTGTGAGCGCTCTGCAACTTGCGACGATGATGAGCTCCGCTGGATCAATATTCCGAACAATCGAGCTTCTCTCACGCGGGATTTAGCGCTGAATCTGATATCGGCGACGAAGAAGACGGAGGCGCTGTAAGAGACAGGGAGGACTGGTGGCCGGTGGGGAAAGTCAAGCGAGAGGTTGGTGTATTGTTTGCCTAACGACGTCGTACTGTTTGTAATGGGCCTACTTCGTGACGGATCTACATTGGGCTTTCAGAAAGCCTAACCTGTCACTTCAGAAATTACGACAGCTTAAGAGATGCACATTTTATTTTACAATTAAAAGATGCACATTAAGCTCCTCTCTCCTGCTTAATTGGCAAATCATACGTTAGTAACTTTTGAGCTCCGAGAAAAGGGGTTTTGACTTTGTCGGCAATTTAGGGTTTTGCTTTTCCCCTTTCCATGCCGGCGGTTTCTACACCGCTTGCCGGGGAGGATCAGGACGCCACCATGCAACCGGAGACGGTTGCGGGCCAAAAGTCGACCCCATCCGCATCCTCCTCGCCAAACCCTAAGGGCAACCGTGAGACGCAACAAACAAAAAATAGAGTGAAGCAGATGGTGACAAGTTCAGGTGTCGTAGGCGGAGAGAAGGAGCCATCGGGAGAGATGGGAGAAGACTTCCACGATCATGCCTCCCTCGAGGAATACCAGTCCTTCGGCCTGGGGCTCTGGAACAGGGGCGGCTAGACGGCTGTTTAGCGAGGCAGTTCGAACAGAGATGTGGTACGTGGAGGACTCGGACTTCGAGGACGTATCGGTAGCTATGCATGAGGACGGGTTGGAGGAGGGTGATGTTGGTATCGAGGATCCCAAATGCCCATCAATACACTACACTGCTGCTGAGGAGAGACTATTCTGTCGCCAGTGGCGATCCGCCTTGGTGGTCAAAGTGTTGGGACGAATAGTTTCTTACACCCTTATGTTAAAGCGATTACAAGGTATTTGGGCGAAGGCGGGATCAATTCAAGTTACGTCAACTAAGAACGGGTACTTCCTAGTCTAATTCACAAGTGGGATAGACTATGAACGAGCAGTGACAGGGGGACCCTGGCTGGTGGGAGATAATTACCTAGCAGTGCATCCGTGAACGAAGAATTTTGATCCCTTTGAGCAGGAGATATTGTCCACCCTGGTGTGGGCTCGACTTCTGGAGCTGCCGACACTATTTCAACCGGTGGCGGTGATGAAGATTGGCCTGCGGATAGGAAAACCACTGAGGGTTGATCATGCTATCATTTCAGGAGCTCGGAGTGACTATGCACGTGTATGTGTACAAGTTGATATCACCAAGCCGCTGCTGTCACAGTTTACAATCCATGGGAAGAAATATTTTATCCAGTACGAGGGACTGGAAAAGATTTTCTTTAATTGCGGGACATATTTTGACCGAACCAAATGTTACGGTACGGTGCCCACTGCGAAAATGGAGACGGAGGAAGTGATGGCAACTTCCGTGACTACGAAAGTGACGGAACCCGAAACAATATACGGAGAGTGGATGATTGCTAAGAAGAAGCCACATACCCGCAAGCCGAGTTCCAACCATTAGAAGAAGACTGATAAAGAGCCTGATCGTAACTATAAAGGAGGATCCCATTTCAACGCTCCGGAGGTTGAAGAGATGATGAAGGATACCACGGATTTGATTTAACCAACGGTGACTGCTCAGGAGAATATCTCGAGTCAGAACCATAGGGTAAATCATGATGGAAAGAGGAAGGGGAAAGAAACTATGTCACAGGAGATAGGAGTTAAGGTGACAGAGAAACAAGGAGCCTCTACCTCAACGGTGCCAAAAGCACCGGCGGGACAACACAAGGCTAGTGATGGCCCTAGTAGGCTAACGACGAAGACAACCGAACAGCGACCGGGTCACACAAAAAACCCCTCTACAGGAGAATACTCAAGCTCCGAGGGAGGTAAGGAGGTATTGCAACGGAAGGAATGGGGTCATCGTGGGAAACCGCCGGACATACACACTGACCTCAACCCACCACCACGTTGCATGCATGAGACCGACGTGAGAGAGGAAATTCTTCCTTGTGAAGCAATAGTGAAGATGGTAGATGGCCTTGGCTCCAAGGCATCTCCTGTCTAACTCCCGATGAAGCAACTGTGACCTACTATTCCTTGTTTTCAATGATCAAAATCTTTGTATGGAATTGTAGGGGTGCAGGGAGCAAACGCTTCCTGAGAGTGTTTAAGGAGTATCGTAGAAAGAACCGTCTGAGTATTACCATTCTAGTGGAACCTAGAATTAGTGGAAGCAGGGCCAAAAAAGTGATTCAGGAGCTGGGGTTTGATGAAAACCTGGCGGTGGATGCGGTAGGGTATTCATGAGGTATTTGGGTGGTTTGGGATTCTAGCATGGTCACGATCACGAAATCTGATAGAGCTGCTCAGTTTCTACATGCCTGAGTCCAATATGGGCAAGCACACTGGTTACAGACAGCAGACTATGCAAATCCTGCGCTAGTGCAACAACGTGAGCTGTGGAACTCCCTTCGCGTGATGGCGGAAGAGATTACAGAGCCGTGGATATTGGCTATGGATTTTAACTCGATCCTCCAACCTGCCGATAACTTGGGTAGTGCACCCTTCGATGCTGCTCGTGCTCGAGAATTTTAGGATTGCTTATTGGATACGGGGTTGATTGATTTAGGGTTCACAGGGCCTCCATATACGTGGCTTCGATCGGGTGTTAAGGAGTTCCTAGATAGAAGCTTAGTAAACTCAACATGGTCTAGCATCTTCCCGCACACGCTGGTTAGTCACCTTCCTAGGATCTGAAGTGACCATAGACCAATTCTTATAACAGTGGATCCTTCTTTCCATCCTGTCGGCCCTAAGCCCTTTAAGTTCTTGGAGGCTTGGCTAACCCATGAGGGGTTTAAGGGTATGATGGAGAGAGCCTGGGCACGAGGCAGTGATCTAGTTTCAGCCATCGTATAATTTACCGGGGAGGCTACGCATTGGAACCAACATGAGTTTAGTAATATTATGCAAAGGAAGAATAAACTGCTCAACGGGATTGGGAGATTAGAGCAACGGGGCGGTGGAGATGATGATGGCCCGAGGCTTCGACAAGCACATGCTGAACTGGAAGATGTTCTTCTTCAAGTGGAGCTTCTCTGGTGCCAAAAATCAAACTTGGAGTGGATTGTCTCAGCTGATAGGAACACTCGATACTTCCACTCTCGGACCATTAGTAATGATCTCAAGTGGATTGATAATTTTATTGAATAGTTAAATTAACCAAAATTTTAATTTATATATTATATTAATATTGTCATGATCTCAAGTGACCTTCGTGTTTCAATTTTTGTAATTTTCTTAAAATACGTAATATCAAGTGAGTTTCATATTTTTTAAATTTCTTATACAAAGCGAAAAAATAATTTTACTTAAGTTTAGAATGAAAACTTTATTTTAAAAAACTATGTATTGTATATTTTTATAATTATTCAAGTGGATTAGATGAAATTTGGGTTGAGTTGGTCGGGTTACGGGTTATTCGGGTTCGGGTCAATCGGGTTCGGGTTAATCGGGTTGCGGGTCAGTCGGGTTGCGGGTCAATCGGATTCGGGTTAATCGGGTTGCGGGTCATTCGGGTTGCGGGTTAGTTGGGTTGCGGGTCAATCGGGTTGCGGGTCGGACGGGTTACGGGTTGTTGACTTTTAGTCAATTTGGGTTGCGGTCGGGTTGCAGGTCGGGTTGATCGGGCGGATTAATCAGGTCGGGCTATGTTTTGACACCTATAATGGCAGGTGAGGTGGACATTGACTAACGGTCAACAAGTTTGACTGTCTAATTTAATGGTCAAACCCGCTTCCAAGCCAAATGAGGAAGTTTGCTGCATAGTTCAGACCAGAATAGCAATTTCCAATACCACGGGCCAAAGTAGAAAGTATGTGTATAGTTCCGGCCAAACTAAGGTATTAACAGGCCTATTAACCCAAAAATATTGGTGTGTTTAAGGTTTGAGATTTTGCACGTAGTTTTTTTGCTGCTGTTTCGGGTTACCTTCTCCAGACCCGGTAACGATGGTTTGGTCTGCTGGGTTTAAAGTTTCTTTGTATCTTAAATTCTTAATCCATACTTCATAACCAAAATAAAAACCAGGTCGATTCGCTTTGATCCCTGTTACTACCGTTTTCTTTTCGAACCAATTCTCGTACTCTGACTGAACCAAACCACAGGAATGTGCAATAGTAAACTCTAAACAGTGATATATGTACAGGAAAACAAGAAAGATGAATTACTTGGCAATTCACTCGAAAGCAATCGCAGTCACAGAGAACAAGAGAAAGAGATTGAACAGTTTGTATCCGAAAAACAAGTGCAACTGCAAGGAACGAATTAGAATTCGAACATGAGACACAAAATCGCAATCCCGGAGAGTTTATACTATGGCACACAACTGTCAGTACTCCCATTTCTTCATCTCCATACCATCAGGAGCACTTCCATCCACCTTCTTGCTCCCCACATCCTTCCAGTTGGTCGACAACACCGTCCCACTCGACTCCACCTGCACGAATAATATGATATGGACATCAAGAATCCAAGATGGAAGGGCAAATTTCATACATTATCACGCCGGTAGAACTACAGACTACATAGAAGCGCATAGATAGATAGTAGGCTCTTACAAAAGATTTCTGCATGGCTCGTCTTGTGTCTTCATCAGCATCCTTGTATATATCCCTGAAGAATTTATTCAGAGCTGCATCGCCATCCAGCTTTTCATCCTTTTCCTGATGCACACAAGTGGCAAAATTTGACGAACATGACTTTCGAGGATTTTCTAGAGGAAAAGAGAGGGCAAATGTGAATCAATTTATAATTATATACCTCCTTCTTCACTTGGGCTTCAAGTTTATCCCAATCCACTTTCTTCGGTTTGGAAGACGGATATGTGGGTCTCATGGCAACATCTGCATAGTCCATCAGACGAGGGAACTTTATCAACACAAGATATTGTTGTTCAACCCAGTAGAGGTTTAGCATCAAAACCGCCTAACCCGTGAACTTAGGAATTCTAGCATGGTATTGTTGTTCAAATTCCCAGTAGTTGTAGAACACTACAAGATATTATACAATATTAGCATGTTTAACATACCAGAGGAAGTGTCCAGCCTTCTAACGACAGCTGTTTCCTTATATTCTAGAGAGGTCCAATGTATAGGTTCAGCTTTCGCAAGATGAACTTCCACTTTGGTAGACAAGACAATATACTTGCAGTTCGCAGGTACTATCTGTGACCAATAAGCCAGATGAAAGAGAACATTCGTCATAATCTGGATAACAACAGATTTTTGAGAAAACAAGAGTAGAGGAAATAGCTAGTAGAAGACATTATCATAGGAGCCTCAATAGACTAAATTTGAAATTCCATGTCTATAGATTATGTAAATCGAACTTTACAACACATTACTTCAAAGAAATGATCCTTCTGGTACCTTGCCAAACAAACGAGGTTGAAGATGGTATGCATCTTCACCAGGAACGTTGATGCTAACACTTAGCTGTAAATTAAAGAGAAATGGAACAAAGGAGTTAAGAGACTCATTATACATAATTGGCACTCATGAATAGCAGGACCAACAGGCACCTACAATTTGTTCACCAAAGTCGACAGACACACAGTCAGCTGGTACACGCTTAGCAAATACAGTCACAACGACTTCCTCGGGCTTCTGATAGAAATCATGCCTGCAGAACTCATATCAACATATCTTTTGGTGAGAGTTGAGCCATCTAATATGCTAATTGTTTAGTGCAGTAGAGAGCAATTTCGATTGTGATTTGGACTGAAGTAAAACCCAATGAATGCATCAAAACGTAAGATACAAAACAAATTGAAGAGCACATGAACTTGTAAATGCAGGTCATTGATATTTGGAATGCTTGAAAGACAATTACAGAACAACCAGCACTCACTTGTATTTGGGCTTGGGTGGAGCTACATCTTGTGTCCCGCTGGAGAGTCCATTCACAGGTTCCTCTTGCATGGGGATGGCATTTGATGGGAGTTCTAACTCCTCTTTTGGCAGCTGGCCTGTTTCCTCTGGGGGGAAAAAAAAGAACTGACAAAACTTTATAACAGACTAACCAAAAGTGAAAACATCAAGCATACAGTTTTGCACATCAACATTTTCATGCCTTATCTTCAAATACAAAAACCAGTTTAGTGCCTTGACTGACTGTATTCAAGCAGATTATATTGGCACGGCAGAAACCTTACAATAATCTACCTAGATAAGGTTGCACAACGCAGGGCATTCAATCTGCCAACGAACGAGTCATTTTACAGCAAAAGAAACCAATCCTTTCTCAAATTACTTATATGGAAAAAGAGCTTTGAATTTTGAAAACCAGCAAACAACATACACATGACTCATATATGTCCAAAAGAAATCAACCATCGGAAGTCGGATAAGTAGGCTTTCTACTATCACAAAAGCACAAAAACTAGGAAGATTTGCTACTTGCGACCAAAGTGCATTCACAGAGACAACTAGGAAGAACATAAGAAACATGAAGGAGAAACAAGTCCTGACATATATCACATACAATACATAGTAGCCTAGCTAGCAAAGAACACGGCTCCTACCAGCAATGCGATCTTCACATTCTTTAATCAAAGAAGCGAATCTTGATCGTGAATCACCAGAAGCCAAAGAAATTCCGGTGTCAAGGGCTGCTTTAGCAGTTTGATACTCCTCCAACTTCATGCATGCTATGCTGCAATCACAGTCAGCAGAATTCAACAAAGAAACATTAAAAAGCACACCTATCGCGTTTCAACCTCATTGGGGTCAAACCTACTAACCCTTTCCGCAAATATGCTTTGGCCATTGAAGCATCCAGCTCAATCGCCTTGTTTGCATCAGAAACCGCCTCTGTTGACAGAAAACGCAACACATGTCGATCAGGGTAAACTCACAGCCGGATTCCCAACAGAGCAAAAGCAACTAAACTCTTCCTAGCCATACACTGACTCATTCTGTTATCGAACACCGCATTTGTATTGCAATTTTTTCTAAACTATCCCAAAAGTAGCCGTTAACTGGCACATCAGCAACGTAATTCCAATCATTCCCTCACGAGTTTCTTAGTTCACACTATTCTCAGGCTTCCGCCGAAGGATGAGGAGAGGAGAGTGCGTACCAGTGAGATTGCCGAGCTTGATATTTGCCTGAGCGCGGTCGGCGAAAAGCTCGGCGCTTTTAGGGTTGAGATCGATGGCCTGGGAGTAGAGATCGGCGGCGAGTTGGAAGTGGTCGTCGATGAAAGCCTCTTTGGCCTTGTTCTCTAGATCGGAAGCCATTGAAGTTTGCAGCAGCGGAGCAGAGAATGGAAGAGTCTAGAAGGCGACAGAGAGGGGAAACCGTACGAATGATTAATGGGAGAACTGGAAGGAGGCAGCGAATCAGATTGACTTGAGAAACTAATAAACGCGGAGAGATTGTTTACAAGTAGTAGGAAAGGGAGGCGGAGACTTAATCCAAGTCTTCGAACTGATATAAATAAAATAAATAAATTAGCAAGTAAAACTGTTTATACTTGCCTTTGCTGAGCCCAAAGGGAACTTACATGGAATCCGGACCGGAAAGGATGGGAAATTGCTTAACCAACGCTTTTGCCTTTTGGTATCGCGTTTTCTTCCCGTTTGTTTGGGGCTGGGATCAGGTGAGTAGGGTAGTCACATGGCTAAGCGAATTTCAGTCACTCAACTTCATTAAAATCCAAGGACCTCTATTAATCCAATTTAATGAAGGGCAATGTAGTAATTGCATGTTTATTTTTTATATTTAATTATAAAATGAATAAAAAATTTAAGCAGCCCCGTCCGCCGCCTCCCGTCTCCGTCCGATTGTTCGGCGGTGGCTCCCGTGGGCAATTACTGGGCAGGAGAGTTCCCCAGCTCTCATGCGCCATTATTTCAAGAATTATTCCGAGAGAGAGAGAGAAAGAGATTTTGTACGGTTAGTATGCTTTGTACTGTTTGTCGGTTTATTTTGTAATGTTTGTATGCTTTGTTATTTTGTAATGTTTGTCGGGTTTTTTTTTGTAATGTTTGTAAACTTTGTTATTTTTGTGTACCATGTTTATCATTTTTGTCAACCATGTTTGTAATGTTTTTTATGTCTAAAAAACTACCTGGTTGACTTTTGGATGAACCTCCTCTATATAGGGATGGAGCCTCCAAAGTCAACCCGGGTGTTTTTTCCAGTTCGTATGGATTGTCGGTCTAGTTTGTCATCTTTGTCCACCATGTTCGTAATGTTTGTATGTCTAAAAAACAACCGGGTTGACTTTGAGACGGAGCACTCTATATAGGGATGAAGCCTCCAAAGTCAACCCGGGTGTTTTTCGAGTTTGTATGAATTTTTGGTCTAGTTTGTCATTTTTGTCCACCATGTTTGTATGTCTAAAAAACACCCGGGTTGACTTTGGGAAGGAGCCCCTCTATATAGGGATGGAGCTTCCAAAGTCAACCCGGGTGTTTTTTCTTTTTGTATGGTTTGTATTGTTTGTCGGTCTAGTTTGTATTGTTTGTATAGTTCATACGTTTGTAATGTTTGTAAATCTGTTTGTATGTTTTGTCGCTCTAGTTTGTATTGTTCGTATGTTTGTATGGTTTGTACTGATTGTAAATCCGGTTTGTATACTTCGTAATTTTCCATAATACCCAAACTACCCCTATCATTAATTAAATAGCCCTTCCCACTTTTTAACCATTGGATTGAAGTGTGCAGATCTAATGGCTAGGAGGGGCTTAGTCAAGTGACTAAGGACCCCCCCTTAGTCATGGGATCCGCTCTCTTTGTTTGGGCCCAATATGTTTCTAATGAAACCATAAAAAAAAGTTTCTAATGAAAGAAACGAATTAATCCGTGTAAATGGGTGATATAGGTTTTTATTTCTTTTTAGGGTAACTAGATTTAGGTCCGCCTGTTGAACGGATGAATTTCGCTAATAGCATAGGCTAACATAGTAATTGTTTGAATAAAGATATGTCTTATTTCATACCATAAAAAAATTCAAATCATTAAGTTAATGAATATATCATAGTGGAATACTTTTCCACATGCTAACTCGATTTATTGACTAAAGTCATTATTGAAAATAAAAACAAAACCATGCAATGAAATAGACTCCTACAAATTTAACCAGACCACATTATTTGTTCCTGAATGTACAAAATTAATGAAAATTTTCTTTTGAATTCCTTGTGATCGCTCTAAAGCACCGTCATCTCCACCAATTATAATGCATTTTTCTTCATTAACGAAACATTTATTTACACAATCGGTTGTCAAGAATTATTGCAAATTTTATTCTCAATTTTTTGTGATCGCTCTGCCTCCGCCCTCTATAGTACAGTCATCTCCACCAATTACTATGAATTTGTATTCCTTAACAAAATCTTTATCTTCAAAATAGGTTGTTCCTACTTTTTCCATTAAAACCCAATCTTTTGTAGAAATATGGTTAAAAATCTAAACTTTACCCGCATTAAAATTTACTTCTCATTAACATTTTATGAGATTTTTTCATTCCTCTAATGCAAACAACCCATCAACCAATAGACAAATTTGATAATTTGTAGATTGAAACACTTAAATAATCTTAGGTATTGATCATTCTCTAATAACTACGTTTTTTTCCCTATATATCTGCAGACTTTATTTCCCAATTTGTAAAAATGGCATAGTAAAGTTTAATGGTCGATAATGAAAATAATAAAATCTGCTATGAATGTCATTTTCTATCTGTGGTGGTTTTATTTTTAATTTGAAAACTATGAATTATGAGGGGGAGTATCATGATCATTTCAAGTTGAATTAGAAATATTGGAAGCTCAGTCAAAGTCCAGTAAGCAAGGTGAGACCCACTTACATAACAATATAATGAAAAATTGATAGCGGGGAATACGATTAAGAATTGTCACATAGATCAGGTACTATTATAGAATAATTTATAGTTATGATATTATATATGATGTTATATGATGCTAGACTAACATTTTTTATTTCAAATATATATAAATGGATAACATTTTGTTAGTATAATTAATTTTATTTTTATTTTTAAAATTTACATTACAATAAACGAAATATGATTAATAAAAAACTAATAACGGAGTGATTATGCACCTTGATGGCTTGATCACCTAATATATTAATAAATTAACAATTTTCTAAATTGGCTAAATGGATACAATAAAACACAGTTGCTAATAATAATTGCAATAAATATACATAGATGAATTTTACAATGCTTCATATTGTTGATGCTTTCGATAAAAAAAAATTAAATATATGGTACAAATTGGACTTATATCTTTCAAATTCATTTTGTGTATATACTTTTTCATACATTTTTTTACACTACAAATTGAACGTGTACATTTAATGTTATGTAACAAATTTAGTTGTACTTGTATATTTTCATACAAATTCATTTATGATACAAACTGAACCTGTACCTTTAATATTATGGTACAATTTGCACCTATATATTTTCATATAAATTACTTTTTTCATATAAATTCATTTATGATAAAGATTGAACGTATAATATCATATAAATTACTTTATAATACAAATTGATTTTATATTTTAAAATTATTCTTCTCCTTTCAATCGAGCAACTTCATTCCTCTCCTTTCAGTGGAAGTTATAAATTAACCAAGACTTTCCTATTGAATACCATCTAATATCTCAGCCCATCTACAAATTCAAATTGTATCACAAAGGGCAAACACCATATAACATAATATATTAGTTAAAAAGGGGAAGACTTTTTTAGTTTGGCAAGAAGGAACTTGGACTTAATATGCACAACTCCGCCTCCTTCCAATAAATTGTTTCCGCCTCTCCTTGCTGGAAATCATTAGAATGAACTTTTGACATATATGGCCCATATAAATTAAAACAAATGGCTTCATTCTTGCGCAGTAGCTAGGGAAAACACAGTCTAGATTCACTTTTTATATTTATAAATGCCAATAGAAAATTAGAAGAATTTGACCATAAAACCCTTCCGTCCTCTGCGGAGGATGCAAGAAAAGGGGAACTAATGAGGTTCCGAAGAAGAACCTCTATAATGTAATGGTTAGATACCTTATTTTGGTCTGAACTATGATCATATAATCAACTTTGGCCCGTGGTTTCAGAAATTAACATCCTGGCCTCAACTATGTAACATATAGACTCAATTGGCCCTTGGGATTCTTTCACACTCACCGGTTTAGATCCCGACCCCTTCGCAATCTTTGACGATGCATTACACTCAAAGGCTTCAACAGCACACCGAACATGGCTCACCACTGGAGCAGCCAACCCATTCCACACAGGGGGGCAACACGACTCTTCAACTCAAAATTGTGACCATCAGCCTCCAGATCGTAGGCGGACACATACCCCTCAGAAGTCGTCGTCTCAGAGTCATCCTCTACTAGTGTCGATATTCCATCTGGACTTTTCTAGTAGGAAAGGTTTAAGGAGAAGGAGGTCATCAGTAGCCTTATCAAAGATCATGTCGGACTGTTGCATGCTGGAATCAAAGCTCAAAGACCTGCGATCCATTCTTGTCTTCGTTGCAGCGTGTTCCCCCTTCTCCTCTCTCTCAATCATATGTGCCTTTCCTTGTCTATGTGCAGGCATGAGCCCACTTTGCTCATTCATGCCAGCATCACCAGAGGCTAACCTAGAGCCCAGACAGTTCGTCTTCATTTGACTTACTTCGTGCTTAGTACGCCCTGAGTGACCCTAGACTTTCATGCCTACTGAGCTACCTCCCATTCTCCTTCCCAACGACTCCTAGGATTGTTGACCACGATCGTTCCCTTTAGGCTCCCTGGGTATATGATCCGTCCGGACCTTCTCTTCCTTCCTACGCGGCAACCTTTCACTTGAGCTAGCATTCTTACTCTGATACATGTTTTGGTCCTGCCAGGCTGCCACGACTATTTCCAGAAGCCTTTTTGATGCTCCTCCATCATAGGGAGTCTCCTAACCACCCTAACATCATTGCTCTGCCCAATCTTGAGTTTCGATGATTTAGCTACCATGAAACCACGAGGGCTTCTTCCTTCATTCTTCCTGTCCTCCTTGCGATTTTCCTGGTATAGGGAGTCCCCATTTTGCACCGATCTTCAGGTCGAGGTACCATGCCTCACAGGTGGAGTCGTCTCAACCACCTATTTTTGCTTCTGTTGCTTACTACTTTGTCATGTATTCCTCATTCCAGCAACCTCCAGATTGACCCTAACTGACCTAGAAGCCCCATACACCGACCGGTTGTCATCCTCTTCTCCATAGAGTTTTTCTCCCAACGCTTTAGTAGTCATATGTGGCATGAACCTCTCCTTTCCTTGTGGTGGATCATACTCACAAGTTTGTAAACAATGCCCCACACGACCACATTTAAAGCAGAAGCTGTGCAGGAACTCATACTTCAGGCTGACCCAGAAACAACCAGTTTCCTCACTCATCGCCATGATCTGAGAGCGGAGTGGTTTAGTAAAATCGATGATAGCCCTCACCTTAATGAAATTCTGCTTTTATGTATGGTAGGCATAAACACCTACTTCAAGGACTCTCCCAATGGCTGACTGGACCATTGACCGTCCAAATTTAGGGGTACAACTATCTTCATTCACATCCCAGAGCTAAATACCAAAAGGAGCGCACACCATTTCTTCATACGTATGAACTATGAAGCGTGACATCAGAAACGTAACCCAGCTCTATAAGTGAAGGATCTTATCCTTGATAATCCAGGGGGTTCTCTGCAGCACCCAAGTCTTACAAGCTTCACTAGGGAGGGAAAACTCAAGGAATCCTTGTCTTCCCTCAGAAACGCGATCGGCCCCTGCCCTTGCCATGCTACATTGAATGCTTCACAGATCGCCGTCATCAAAGATCTCTTATCCGCAAACATCCTACCCAGAAGAGTGTGGGAGGCGCGGAAGTGGGAGGATTGAACCACTTCGAACTTTAACTGCACATTCTGATTTTTTACAACGTGAGCCATAGGTTCCTTCTGGGCTGCTCTAGGGGTTGAACAAGACACCTGATCATTCATCAAAACACCATGGTTACATGACAAGACCAAGTAGTTACTAGTACACTCCCATATACGGAAAATAGAGCACATTAGATAGACCAATGTAGGAAATCCAAGAAACAGGGAAAGCATAAATTTAGATTTAGGAATGTACAATCAAATCGAATAATGACTATATTTAATCCCTTAGATGGACCACACAGCTGCAAAAAATAAGAAGCATCCGCCCCAAATGTCCCCTTATAAACCTATCCCACCGACCTCATCCTCAAAGAAGGACGGCCGACGGTCACTAGCGAGGCGAGGGACACCAACCGGGAATTTCCGGTGATCAGTTAAGCGTGGGAGCGTGTCTAGTTAGTGGAGGTAAATCAAAATCGTATGGAACCAGAAGGCAACACAGAATCCTCGTGATCTATTCCTGCACGTAATTCTGGTAATCCAAATTACTATTCTCTGACTCTGATACATTCATACATCTACTGAGTAATAACTAACTAACATGATCTTGTTAACATGAGGGAAAAGTGAAAGCCTGAATGGAGAGTTGAGGAAAAGGAATTAGGTTTTGATTTGGGTGGCCGCTCAATTACATTTCTACTATTTATTTTCTTGAGTTACCCTTACTATCATTGATAGGTTACAATTTTCTCCATCTATTTTGAACATGTGAAGAAATGTTTTTGATGGGGCGGGTATGTGTATGGGTATGAGGTGGGAAGGCGAAAACCATACATGTCTCATACCCAGTTAATATGGGAATTCTCCGTGTTCACAAGGTCTGAGGCGGTCGGGCACTCGCAATCATGTATTTGATTGTAATCCCTAACTATTATTAAACACTATATCTTTCTTTTAACAATTCGAATTTTTGGTGACTCGTAAATCTTAATCATCTCTATCATTCGGATCATAGTTAAATTCTTTGAAAACAAGATAAAAAATAAATCAAAGTAATATTAGCAAAACTGTTAAACTTGAGGTCAAACGATAAACAAATTAGGTCCAACTTTTGATTTAAACTTTAAATAACGATTAAGTATGAATTTGAAATACATGATTGAAAATTTTAATCATTCTCGGTCTACCTTCTTTTTATCCCGCCTCTGATTCCTCTCTCTAAATATACTTTGCGTTCACAAGCTTGTTTAGCCCATATTTCTATTTTGAAGGCATTCACAAGCTTCATACATCTACCCGAATCATCTGTAATGCTCTCGAATTCTCTCTCTGAAACTCCGCCGGTGGTCTTGGCTTTTACTCCCTCCGGCCAACCACCGGACATCGTAATGGCTACGCCTGAACAGAATCATCTGGCAGATCAAGCTCCGTCGGGGGCAGAATCTATTTTTGCTCCAATGGGGGTCGACATCAGGCCTAGCACTAATCAGATTTCTGATAGGGACTCCAGTGCTGCTACAAATGGGTGCGGATCCCAAGCGGTCACGACAACAGCGCTCGCGGACAGCCGGACAAATCCATCGTCGGGAGGACCTTTCTCCTCTGGTATGCAGCTCGTTTCGGGTCCGCAGCCCGTCTCGTACGCCAAAGCGGTTGCAGGAAATGGACAACAGGCTTTGATGGTTCCCCCCCCCCCCCCCCCCAATGGACTCCGGTGGGGGAGCATGACCTGGTTCCCGGAAAATTCCATGGAGAGCCGGCGCTGACAATTTCTGACAGCTTCAAGGAAAGACTCTGCGCCCCGTGGCAGAAGACGCTTGTTGTTCGTCTCCTAGGTCTTCACATAAGCTTCACCACCCTCTGCTCCAGACTCAGATCCCTGTGGCGACCGACTGGTTCTATTGAGATCATGGATCTAGATGATACGTGCTATCTGGTTCAACTTTCCAACGAGCAAGACTACTTTAAAGCCCTCACAGATGGCCCGTGGGTCATTTTCGACCATTACCTGTCTGTTCAACAATGGACACCGAATTTCGGAATCCATCATCCTCTCCCTAAAACTATAATTGTCTGGGTTCAGTTACCGGCGCTCAAAGTTCAGTTCTACCATAAAGAGGTTCTGACGTCTATGGGTAATCTTATCGGCCGCACCATCAAGCTTGACTACCACACGCTCAACAGGCAGAGAAGGAAGTTTGCTCGACTGGCAGTCGAAGTCAATATGTCCAAGCCATTGACCCCCCGCATCTGGTTGGACGGGGCATGGCAGAAGGTTGAGTACGAGAACCTCCCGACGGTCTGCTTTGAATGCGGCAAGATCGGACACAGCTCTACGAACTGCCCGACGCTGCGGAAGGAGGAGGCACCGAAAAAAGTTGCCATTGCCGGTCGGGAATCCATGGCGTCGGCGGCCATCGCCGTGGCGGAACCCAATCCCGGATTCGGGCCTTGGATTCTTGTTACCAAAAAGAGTCGCCACAATCCTAGGGATCAGCTGAAAAAAGGTAACTTGGAGAGTGATTCAGGGAAGTCAAATCTTGGACAAACCAATAGAAATGGCAAGAGTGGGATGAAGATTAAAGAAGGTGGCGATTCCTTTAATATTGCTACTACCCAAAAGTCGTTGGGGATACAACGGCCGCTTGTTCAGGAAAGGAAAGGAAAGGAAATCACTCCATGAAGGAAGGGGATAGCGTTCCTGTAGCTGGGAAGGACAACAAAAAAGGAAAGGAAATTGCGCGGGAAGGAAACGACGTTAGTAAGGGGGTCCTTGGATCCGGCTCGGCTAAAAGCCTCATCAAATCGAACGGGCCTCGGCCCACTACAGATTACAAGAGAGCGTCCACTTCGGCCACCGCTACAGAATCTCTCATCCCAAAAGAGGACCGGGTCGGTGTGAATTCATCCCCCGCTGCTGCTACAAAGCCCGCCAGCCCAATTAAGCTAAAGGTTGTTTCCCCACCAGTCCACACCATCCTTGGAGCCAATGGCACCAATATCCAGATCGTTTCACTCTAAACCTCACCCGAACCAGCACAGCAGCTTGAATCGAAGGATCCGACCACGGGAAAATGTACCAACCACAAGAAGAGTTCAAATCGGAAAGCCAAGAAAGGAACACCGGTGAAGCACCATGCGACAAAAGCTCTCCAAGTGTGGCCACCTGTCAAAGATCGGAAGACTAAGTCAAAAGCACGGTTGGCGAATCTCACTCTTCACGAGATCAATGCCTGGACTAGCGCAGCGCAGAGCGCCACTCTAGCTGCAGAACCCGTGGAGGCCGATTCAGGGACCAGCGAGCAGCTAGCTCCTGAACTGGAAATGGCAACGGTCACTTCTCCGCCTCAGTAACCCGGTGTCTTCTGCTTCCTTGACTTCTTCCCTCCCTTGTTCTTTTTTCCTTTTCCTATGTCTATGTTTAATTCCAATAAAGTTAAAATTCTTGCTTGGAACGTGGGTGGGGCAGGCAGCAAAGCCTTCGCCCGGGCTCTTAAGCTGATCATCCAGGATAATAAGCCTAACTTTGTTATTTTGCTTGAACCTCAGGTTAGCGGTACGGTTGCGAACAAAGTCTGTGACAGGATGGGGTTCCCTGATGTTATAAGGGTTGAAGCTGATGGGCGTAGCAGTGGCATTTGGATCTTCTGGGACACTCGTTCTTTTTCGATTCAGCTGATCTCTGCCTGCTCGCAGCATGTGTCAATTCGGGTCTCCCAAAGCAATGCCCCGGTCTGGGTTCTCACTGCTGTTTATGCCTCCCCCCGCCATACCCAATAACGCTTTCTCTGGGACAGCCTGATTGAGCAGAGTCAGGCCATCAACATCCCGTGGGTTCTCACTAGCAATTTCAACGCCATCCGAGATCCTACAGAAAAAGCAGGTGCAGCTTCGGTGGTAACTATTCGGAAATGTCGGGTCTTCAGTGATCGCATCAATACTGCCGAGCTCTTAGACCTTGGTTTTTCGGGTCCTAGATTCACTTGGACTAGGGGGAGAACATGAGATCCTACAAAGCCAGCAGAATCGATAGATCCCTCTGTAACATCTTGTGGAACTCGGCCTTTCCTAGCACTATCGTTCTTCATCTACCTCGGCTTAAGTCGGACCACAACCCCATCCTCACTTCTTTTGCTACTCAGGGGCATCCTTCTTCCTCTCCTCCTCGTGGTTTTAGATTTGAAGCTACCTGGCTCACTCATAATGCTTTTCTCAATACCGTTGCAGGTTCTAGGGATCAGGAGGCTCCGCTGCCAAATGCGCTCCACAAGCTAGGCTCAGTGCTAAGAGATTGGAATTCCAATGTTTTTGGAAATGTGCAACAGCGCAAACGGAGACTATTGGGGCGCATCCGAGGGGTTGAGCAGCGCCTTTCAGGCTCCTTCCAGCCAGGACTAGCTAAGTTTCACTCCAAACTCGAGGCTGAGCTGGATGGAGTTCTCGAGCAGGAAGAGCTTATTTGGTTCCAAAGGTCGAGGGAGAACTGGGTCAAGTTCGAAGAGCGCAACACTAGTTATTTTCATCATCAGACCCTTATTAGAAGGCGAAAGAGCATGATTTCAGCTCTGCGAGATGTGATGGGTAACTGGGTGGAGGACCCGCAGGAGCTGGCCTCTTTGGTTTTCAATTTCTACACTAACCTCTACCTGCAGGATGGCTTAGTGTACGAAGACAGGATGCCAAGGAATGCTTTCCCGCGCATCCAGCAAGAAGAACTTCTCAGTCTTCTCAGACCCTTTACCATCATGGATA